AGTGTCTGCATGGAGGAAGCTAGAGTGGGCAGTCTCTCAAGGCCAATGGACATGCTGGGAATTTTGAAAGGGTGAGATAGAGAGGCTCTCTTCTCCCAAATGCGGCCTTGGAGTTCTTGCCTGGAAATGATGGGCAGAGGCTGGAGGGAGAGCCAGACATAAATAAAAAGGGCCTTTTCCTGAGAACGGAGGGTGAGCTGGGTCTGCATTAATCCCGATGGCTCACCAGCACATCCCCGCGCCCCCCCCCGTTTCCCCATTTGGCCTTTTTCCTCCCCTCTTAGGCAAGTGCACACACGTCACACATGTCAGTGAAGATTCTCAGTCATCCAAGTAGAGCTGTCTGCAAGTTGAGTCATGGCAACTGGGCTAATTTTCTCATTGGTTTGAGACGTTTTGTTGCCCATCTGAGCAGCTTCTTCAATCTGAACAAATTGATTAGGGCAGGGGTAGGCAACCTTGGCTCTTTTATGACTCGTGGACTTCAACTCCCAGAATTCCTGAGCCAGCATGGCTCAGCTTGGAAACCTTTCCCTTTCCCCTCAGCGTGGCTGGCTCAGGAATTCTGGGAGTTGAAGTCCACGAGTCATAAAAGAGCCAAGGTTGCCTACCCCTGGATTAGGGGAATCTGAGTAGGCAGAAAGTTGTTGGAATGTACCAACTCCTAACATTCTTAGGGGTATTCCCGCACTAACCTCAGGGTTTCTTCCCCAAATTGCAGGCTTGTTCTGACTGGAGAAGCTGCTTGGATGGGCAGCAAACCGTCTCAAACCAACAAGAAAATAAATCCAGTTGCCATGACTCAACTTCCAGATACACCCCCCCACACACACACACACAATGTCAACATCCAGCTCGAGAATCCAAATAAAACTCCAGGTTTATTCAGTTTCCGAAAATCTTACTGCTTGTTGAATACACTGCATGGTAATGTCAAAGCAAAAACTAACTCTGAGGTTCCAACACCAAATCAAACAATAATTTTCCCAGCCAAACCTCTAACACAGTGGTGGCGAACCTATGGCACGGGTGCAAGAGGCGGCACTCAGAGCCCTCTCTGTGGGCACGCACGCCGTCGCCCCAGTCCTAGGCCTTAAGCTGGGTTTTATAAAACCTTTTCGCTTTAGGCCGCCGCCGCGTACGCAAAAAAAAAAGGTTCAATCAATCAATTTCAACTTCTCGCGGGGAAAAAAAAGATCTTGCAAAGTTGGAATTGATTGATTGAACTTTTTAGTCCTACCCAGTCTGCTGTTACCATCGCGGCCACGCCCACCCAATGGGCCACGCCCACCCAATGGGCCACACCCACCCGGCACTCGACAATGCATAAGTGGGTTTTGGGTTGCAGTTTGGGCACTCGGTCTCTAAAAGGTCCGCCATCAGTCTCTAAAAGGTCCGCCATCTTACATAGTCCATATAAACAAGTTCATTTTGTTATGGGAACCGTCTGCTTCAAATCCACGCCAGTTACGGTGTCCTTGAATGGGTTTCAGGCTCTTCAAGGGAACCGTAGAAGTTTCATTTCTCCATCTAACCCACTCGAAGGTAACACCTCCCCCTCTTGCTCTAAATGCAAGTTGAAACGCAGAGGCATGTGGCTGCCCATGTTTCATCCTTCACACACACACACACACACACACACACACACACAGAAATTTATTTTTCAAAAACACCTCTAGACCTCAAGAGTCCTCTTATTTTGTCCCCTTATTTTGCAGCATGCCATTCCCGTTGATTTTAATTCAATGAAAGAAAAAAGACAAGTTGGACAGGCTAGCTGGCACCAAGAAAGGAATCTGTAGATAGAAGCTACCCACCCCGGTGCAATTCTTGCTAGCATAAACACAAGAGGTTTATGTATTGCTGCCTTTGCTATGTTCTAGGTTGCCGACACCCCTTTCATCTGCGTTTCCTGCTGCTTTCATTCATCTGAAATTGTTGCTTTTGCTTTGTTGCTGTTATTTAAGCTGCCATGAATAGGACAAGGAGAACGCACAAATTAATTTCAATAAGTAAACTGTACCAAGGACAGAGACCCTAAGAGGATTCTTGTAGAGAGCCAGGATTCCCAGGACAGACTTCTTCCCTCTGTCTCCATAGGCAGGGATCAGATTAGATCTTGCAGAGCTTCTTGCCAAAGGGGATTATCTCAGTCCCTGCCTTGCCTTGGAGAGCCCATCGGCTCCGCCATCGAATCCCTCCCTTGCCAGATTCTGCTACCAGATTCAGAGCGTATCCTTGACCCGCAAGGACACAGATTATCCAGAGCCAGCCTGAAATGTAGGAGATCAGTTGTGTTTCATTTTACTTCCTGTGATATAAAGCTGGTGATGGCTTTTTCCCCCCTGAGAGATAGCAAGATCATTGCCCAAACAGATCATTTCTAGGCACTGAAAGGAAGGGAAAATTAGGAAGGTGTTTAGTTAACCTTCACCACACTCTAGACCAGAGCTTTTCAACCAGTGGTACGGGTACCACCTGTGGTACATTGGCACCTGGCAGGTGGTACACGACCACCCTAGAAAGGTGGTAGCGGGGGAGGGGAATGAGCTGAACCGGTGGCAGCACCGCACAAGCCTGAGCGAGAGATGGCCGGAGCTGCAGGGCTGTCAGGGCTCAGCGGAAGCGCCAGGATCAGCGCCAGGATCCAGCTGGAGGTCAGCGCTGATCCTGGTGCTTCTGCTGAGCCCAGAAGAAGCGCCGATCAGCTGGAATGTTGCAGCATCTCCAGGGTCGTGTGATTTACAATCAGATGCTTGCCAACTGATTCATATTTATGACGGTCACAGTGTCCCAGGGTCATGTGAAGTGACCAAAACCTGCTACAACCACCCAGCAGATGGGGAGAATAAAAACCAAACACCCCCCACCCCACCCCCACTGCCAATCCTCAACAGAAATGCTCACAGCAATGAAAACCTTGGACAGGAGGAAGAGTGCCACCGGGCGGGCAGGCAGGTGTCTGGCTCGGCTGTGGCTTGGGGGGCACTTTTTTCAGTGCCATTGTAACTTCGCACAGTCACTAAGCGAACTGTTGTAAGTCGAGGACTACCTGTACTTTATCACTTTTTTCCTTTTTTCTTTTTGGGTCATCAACTTTTTGACACCTTGCTAGGCGACTGGTGGTACTCGGATGTTGCCATATCCTAAAAGTGGTACAGTGGGTGAACAGGTTGAAAAGCCCTGCTCAAGATTAAAGCACAGGTGTATATAAAAGGACCATGTAAAATAAGTTCCCCTTTCAGGTACGATGACGCAAAGGGATTTTGGTGCCAGCTACTCGATGGAGGAAAGACGAAATGCCTGGGGAGGAGTAAAGGGAGAAAATATCCAGAGATGGATTCCTCGGTAAGCTACACAGAACTCTCCTGCATGTCTGTTATAATTGAGAGAAAAAAAGAGTTGCCAGTGGCCTTTCATTAACAGGTCCTCTCTTTTTGGGACCCCCCGCAGTCCCGCATGTTCCTGGCAGATTTCTACCATGAGCACAACACTGAATTATCCAAGTTGCTGAACACCCTCAGGCAGCCACTTCCCACGTGGCTCCGGGAAGAGCTGCAGAATTCCAGCTGGAGCTGAAGCCCAGATCTCCACCACCAAGACTGCCAAACATAAAGTGGGAGCCCTCGGGAAGGACACATAATGTGTGAACACACACACGCACATACCACTGCCAACTTTCCTTGAATCACTCAGAGAGGGAGGAGGAACCGTGCTGTCTGTGGGTGAACCATGCACCTTTTAACTCTTTTATGGTTTGACTCAGCTGAGAAACACCTTCAGGCCGTAATTGCGTAAGATAAGCTGTGCACCAGTTGCCCGTCGTTCCCAAATCCGACAGTCACTAACATAGGAATGGGTGTAGCCTGTAATTCCCAGATGCAAGGAAGCTGAGAGTAGCGTCTCAAAAGGAGCGGAAACACGCAAATGTGGTTGGCTACTGTGACATTTCTTGTTAATGTCCAAAATGCTCAGGAAACTAGCAAGTGAATGTCTTAACTGTTTGTGACAACTCTGTTACGTATTGGGGGTGGTGTTTCCAAAGTTCTTAAGTCAGGCATCAAAACGGCCTTTTCTTAAGTCCATTTTAGTTATTTCATTATTTCTACTCCGGAGGGGTCAGGGAGACAAAATGGGTGACGCCGCTAGGATGGTACAGACGTTCTTAGAAAGTGGGTTTGTGACAAGTAAAAGATGGGAGAGAAATCTGAGGTGCTCTCTTCAGCCACTGCAAGGAACTTATCTTCATCTGGAATGAAAAGTTGTCCCCTGATGCCCGCTGCATGGATTTTTCTTCTGGCATTTAGTTGTTAGTAGTCTCCTTTCATTCTTTTCTGAGCACAGCCGGGAGGTTATGATTGAGAGAGAATAGAATTGGTACACAAAATTTCTCAATTTTGCTTCAGGTGAGTCTCCGTTTCCTTGTAGCATCTATTCCTGTTTTATCTTCTGCCTTGCTACCACTATCTTGAGTACAAAGCAGGTTCTGACCCATCTCTCAAACATGCCTTATGTACAGGGGCCCAGCGACTCCTAAGAAAACCAATGCTGAGCTCATTGGAAACGCACAGCTGTTGACTTAAGACAGGGAGACACCTTGGGGGCAACATCTGTAACTTGGTGCATTCATGGAACCAGGGATTTCAACCAAGCTTTCGCATTGAGCCTTAGTCGTGCGTTTTTAATTGTGAATTTACCATTGTCTGTAAATATATAACGTGGACTTTATAATATTTCATTCAATGTGTCTCCAAGCAGCAGGAAATGTTGTGTAACCAAAAAAAAAAAATGTAACCCACCAACCTAAAAACCCTGTGGCTGAAGAAAGAAAACAAGTGCTGTTCTTTCCTGCACTGGATTCATGTATATTGTCATTCACATTGAATGATACAAATAAATTCTTGGCTCTTGCAGCTGAGCACAATGTCTAAATAAAAATTAGACATAGCATTTGGATCAATAAATGAACTGCTTTATTTCTTGCTAGACGGAGAGGTTCAAGTTGCGCTAACCCTTTTTTTCCCCCTGACCGAACAGCTCTGATTATACATGCAGCCATGGAGATCCCTCTACACTGGATTGTAAGAACTGGCTTAGTTATCAAAATGAAACTAGAAATCAGTAACACTTGAGACGAGACAATCTCAAAAGAATCTGATCAGTAACGTAAGAAACTTGTATTTTCTGGAGGGAAAGCATGAGGCTAAGTGGAAGTGGCAGACATTTTTAAGACTTTTAAGCCTGACTGGGATCTGCTAAGACAGTGGTTCTCAACCTTTTTAATGCCGCGACCCCCAACCGGTCGTAAGTTGAGGACTAAACCGGTCGTAAGTTGAGGATTTTCCCTGCCTGGGAGCGCCGCGCATGCGTGGTTCCGCCCCCTGCGCCGGCCGAGGCGTAGCTGGCAAGCGGCAGAGACGGAGCAGGCCGACCACCAGCTGGCCCAGCCCAAGGGAGGTAAGGCACCGGCCGGAAAAGGGAAAAAAAATGGCGGACAGCCTTGCTTGGCGACCCCCGTGAAATGGACGATCGACCCCAAATGGGGTCGCGACCCATAGGTTGAGAACCGCTGTGCTAAGAGATTCGACGCTTAACCGCCTACAGCTAGGCCCGTGTGAATTCCAAGACAAGAAACGTCTAAACAAGGAGTGAAGTAGAAGGTCAAGGATACACGAGAGGTGGAAAGGTACACACGGTATTCAGCTCAAGTCCATGAACATTACAGGAGAAAAAAATGGGTGTAAAACTAATTGCCAAAGAGGCCAAGTCCACATTGTGGCGTTCAGCACCTAAGTCGCAGACAGCTCCTTTGAAGCCTTTCAAAATCACACTTTTCCTGGGATTGAGCTACAGCTGCAGAGGGCAGCTGAGATTTCTGGAAAAGGGGGACGGCTACCTGAAGGAGCCCTGATGCCTTTTTGCCATTCCCTGCAAGGCGCCTGCTCTTTCAAAGGAATCAAAAGACATTTCCAGAATGGCTAGTATAAATGTTAATTGGAATGTCCTAGTCCAGGGGTAGGCAACCTTGGCTCTTTTATGACGCGTGGACTTCAACTCCCAGAATTCCTGAGCCAGCATGGGGGAAACTATGGCACCCTCGTGACTCGTGGACTTCAACTCCCAGAATTCCTGAGCCGGCATGGCTCAGCTTGGAAACCTCTCCCTTTCCCCTCAGCGTGGCTGGCTCAGGAATTCTGGGAGTTGAAGTCCACACGTCATGAAGGGGCCAAGGTGGCCTACCCCTGGTCTAGTCAAATATCAAGGGTAACTGATAAGTTGATGATGACTACCACAAAGATAAGTGATTTCTATTTCATATTATTATTGTAAAAATAACAGGCCGGAGTTTTGTAGTCTGCACTGGACAGTCCCCCATATTTGCAGCAGCAAAACGAGGCCAACCCCGTCTAATTTCTGGATTCCACCATTGCGCTGCTTTTAGGAAGGTTTCTCCCATCGCTCAACCAGAACTGACTGGGAACACTTGAGTTGCACTTTCCAGTGACCTGGATTGCCCCGTTCTTTTTTTACACATGATTTCAAGTGCCTGGCGAAAGGGCTGAGCAGTCTTCCAACGTTCTCATTTTTATCATTCGCGGAAAAAGCAGCTGCATTCAGACCTGTACAAATCTGAAAACAGAATTTTTAGAATGGAGCTTAAACAGAATAACGGCTTGAATAGCTACTATTACAGGCAAGCTATTTGTGATCTTTTGGTCTCTGATGGCAAATAAAAAGCTTACCTGAAGTAGACTAGAAAGATGAGTCAGGTAGATCTCTGGAAACCACAGTTCTGTTCTGGACTTGACATCTATCCAGTCATGCTTAATTATTATGATGTTTGGCTTGGATGAGAGTCATTTTGCAGATGTCCCGGAGAAGTACCGTGTTTCCTCAAAAATAAGACCCACCCAGAAAAATAAGCCTCAGTATGATTTTTTAGTGTGATGCAGTGCTGCAGGACCCAAGCGGCAGGCAGAGGAGGCTGCTGCTGGTGGCGGGCAGGTGATCTGCAGGGCGAGGCCAGCAAGTACCAAAGAAAGCCCCTTCAGCGATGGACGTGGGGACCAGGTAAGGCGACCGAACCTCCTCCACCCATTTTCCATAGCAAGGCAGTCCAGCTCAGAAGGGGAGTGAAAGGGAAGAGGCAGGTGAGCAGCCGGGTCATTGAATGGGCAGGGGGAGGTCGCCGAGTGGGGAGTGGCCTGGCTGCAGGGACCCTGAAGTAAGTGGATGTGGGGCGCGTAGGACAGCTCTACCCCCCCCCCACCTTGCCTCACCTTGTAGCACCAGCGTGCTGTGTAGTCTCCTGCCACACTGCAACTGTGAGCAACCAGACAGGATGGAAGGGGCGGGCGGCCGCAAAGTCAGACATCCCCCCCAAATAAGCCCTAATGGGTCTTTCCCTCCCCCCCCCAAAAAAAAATATAAGACCCGGTCTTATTTTCGGAGAAACACGGGTATATTCTTTGGAAATTTGGCAGTTCCAACTGGCAGAATGTAAGAAAAGCAAATACCACTTATTATCTATTTAGACAAGTAATCTATTTAGACAAGAACAGCCTCATATAGGACAAGACGAACAGTTTCAAGGTATAATGGAAAGGGTTGGAACTGTTTATGGAAAAGGATATAGGCTTTGCCAGAAAGCTAGGCAGTATGTGGCAGAAACTCAGTAACTGGACCTAAGACAGTGAGGTTCTGTGACAAACATCTGTCACGATTTATAGGAGAAAAGAAACATCTGTCTAATGGATAATTTTACGGAGTCCTTGATGCACACTGATCTTGCATGCTTAGCTGCTTGCAGATGTTTCATTACCCAACTAGACATCAGTGCTAAGAAGTGTGAGATTTCATCTTTACACAGTAGCTTGCCCTGCCAGTGGTGGTGGGGGTGTGGTTTTCTCCTTGGTAGTTCCTTAATTATTGTTTTCATCTCGATTGTTTGCCTGGTGTTAATCCCTGCTTATCTGGGTGTTGGCTAATGGAGAGGATGGTATGTTCACTTCCTTAACATCAGCTTTATCTTACTGTTTATAAACCACACACTCATTATCACTGATTAACTGCCTAGCCAGTAAATGAAATATCTGCAAGCAAACAACCAGTCTTTGAGAACACCAAGGACTTCACAGTTCAACCTACATACATTCTCTTCCACTGGCATAACTTTATCTCTATACACAGTTACAGTAGTGGCCAAAATTGTGGAAATCTTTTGGGAAAAGTGTACAGTAGAAATGCCACCTTTGGTTAGGTTTCCACCCATTTTTCTTCTAATTTCTTTATAACTGTAGCCTATGTTCACTTCATAATACTATTTTACATCGCTTTCTGGGCAACCAGTCAACTCTTTGCATCATTACTTTAATTTTATTACGTTTTACAAGCTCGCTAAAAAACCCAACCAACTTGATAGCCATCACATAACACACTGACAAATGTCCTCCTCTCAGCTTCAATACAGGACATCAATAACAGGACATGATCTGATTGGCTCATTGCCAAAACAAGATGACACCCGATTGGGTCTCTAAACACTCATGCTCATTGGCTACAATCAGATGAAGGAAAGCTACCTGATATCAACCTAAGCAAGTTGTGCTTCCTTTTTCTGGTTATTTGGCTATAACCTTTCGTAGAATCCAGTACAGATAATTGAACAAACTATGTTGCATTACATTCTTGATTAAATTATCTTTCCATTGATATATATTTTTATGGTACTACTCCAAAAAAAAAAAGTGGTGTTATTAGCCATCAAACTTTAAAAATACACTTTTCCCAAAAGGTTTCCACGATTTTGGCCACTACTGTAGATAAGAAAGATCCATTCATAAGGACCAACTGCCTAGTTGGCCAAGATACTGAAATCACCACTATGAGGGATGCCTCTTTCGGAGACATTTCAGAAGACAAACTGCCTTTGGTTTGAAAAGCTGAATAAAGTTTTGCTAAAACTACTAAGAGGCTATCTGAGGGTTCTGGAAGTTGCAAATGCCTGCGTAGATCTATTGAACATTGGGTGCAATAAAATTATGATTCCCTTATTTTTTTCCCCCGATTTGCTCAACTTGACAGGTACATAAAATTCTTCCCCATCCCTTTTAATGCTAGCCAGACTTCATGATGTTTGAGAAAAGTGCCAATTATTTTGATGCCAAGGTAGTCCCCAAACAAAGTGCAGCTCTTCCATAGCCCAAAATCATTGTCCTTATCAACCCCCAATAGATGCCTGCGTAGATCTATTAATCATTGAGTGCAATAAAATTAGCAATCAAATACTGGAATATAGATGCCCAATACAGCAGCCAAATATAATATTAAAGGATCAGACAAAACTTGGCCTTCAAGAATCACTAGACGTATTACAATACAGCAACTGTGGAAATAATGATTTAATGATGATGATACACCATTTAACTGTAAGGAAACATGGTTGAACTTATGAACATGGTCTTTTGGACAGATATCAAGGAAGTCCTTATGGGGAGAATGATCACATCTGGGTGTTGGATCCCTATTCTAACGGGTTTGTTATACAATTTAAGCCTGGAAAAACTTGAAGGCAGCGATTTTATCACTGCTATAGTCCCTTATAGAATGGTATATCCCTAAACAGCTTGCCTGTTTATCTTCATCAATCATACTATACAGATACGAAGCACTGGAATTGAAGGCAACGAAAAGGGCAACCAAGATCTGCCTACTGTCCCATAAGCTTCTTCAGCCTAATCCATTTTATGCCAAACGTGTACGTAAGAAATTGTCAACTGCAATTGAGTTAATTTAGAACATACTGTGTCAGATGAATAGAGTGGTTAAAGCTGGATACTCCACTGCAGCTCCTGGCTGAAAAAACTGTCTATCCAAGCCAAGATCTATGACACTTCGGGGCTTATTTATTAACCAAGCTCTGTGCCATTTTTATTGACTTCGAGTTTGTATTTGATCTCATTTCCAAAACAACAGAATAAAAAAACCCAATAGATAGCTACTTCTGTTAATGCACAAACTTCACAAAAATAATGTTGTAATATGCAAGACCACTGAAAAAAATCCCAGGGGCAGTGGGATATTTTTAGTTCCCCCGTTGTTCAGTTGGAACAGCAACCCTCTTTTGGCGGAAAAATATCCCTTAGCGCATCATCCTGTAAGTAGCCAGTAGACATATTGCCATCAATGAGCTAATGCTTCTGTCATAAACATCCATCAGACCAAAATGAGCTCTAAGCACTCCAGCCACTTACTACTCCAAGGAAGCGCTTGAGATCAACTATGCTAAAATTAAGACCTCGGTGCTTGGCAAAGTGGTCTAAAGTGCTTACCTGGCAGCCAAATGGTGAACAATAGAGTGATTCAAAATCTTGAAACATCTGGCCATGCTTTTTCATAGCTCTACTTAAATGCAAAATACACAAAAATCAGTTTCAGTTATATAACCCTTCTACCTTGCCAGGGGTAGCGCACACCCCAGCAGCATTAAAGCTTTATTTGGCTGAAATGTGTGTTTATTCACTTGACCTGAGTAGTCAAGCCCCTTTGGTTAGGCTGGCAAGATATTTAAATTAAATAACCGTCCTTAAATTCCAAACAGCAATAACTTTAGAATATCTTAACATCCAATAGCAATAGAACTAGCACTTAAGACTTATAAACAGCTTCAAAGCCATCTCTAATCAGTTTAGAGTCGGCATATTGTCCCCAACAATTGGGGTCCTCATTTTACCGACCTCGGAAGGATGGAAAGCTGAGTCAACCTTGAGCTGGTGAGAGTTGAACTGCCAGCAGTCATCAGAATTAGCCTGCAATACTGCATTCTAACCACTGCGCCACCCTGGTTCATAGATGTTCTCAATGGCATACAAAAAAATAAGATTACTTTGAGCTTTCTATAAAGACACAGAACCTGTTTTGTGACTCCTTATCTGGCAAAGTACCCAGCAATTCTGATTTATCCAACAAGTCTGTGGTTACTTTTATTAGAGCAGTACAATAATTACATCCTTGAATGTGGCTACATTTTTACTGCCTGTAAATTTTAACCTGGACCAATTGCTTCAATTATCTAATTTTTAAATTTTTACAGGGGTTTATTTGACATAGAAACGACTCGGTTAATTACGGTACTCTTTGTCAACTTGCAGAACTCCAGCCTTAAATACAATAAATACAATAAACTAATAAACTAAACTAAACTTAATGTAATACAAACCCCTCCCCTTTATTAAGATGGCAGCTTTTGCACCATTCCTCCGGCCTTGAGGTGGGGATGCATCGGTAGCTCTTTCCCGCTATATGCACAAGATCCACAATAACAATTGTGTCTAATGCAATGGCATTACAAACCTTTCAAGGGATTATAGCCTGAATAAGGATCACGTAGGAAAAAGAGGAAAGACAGCAATGTGAGAGAACTACACTGCACTAACATAACAATTTAAGGAAGGATCTATTGCTCGGAAGTACCGTATAAACATCCCCTATCCTGGCTTTGAATCTCACTCAAATCGAGATGACATTCATCAGGACTAATTCCAAAATGGGACTCGTGGAAACACATCAGCCCATCGCCCACCGTGCGACAACTGGATTTCAGCCTTCTGGCAATCCCCTGGTACACCTGCCCACCTACTTGCCTTCCAGTTTATTCCTGCTTTTTTATCCGTCTCTTCCCGTGACAGTGATGGAGGACTTCCTTCACCTCCCCCCTTGTCCTCTGCATAGAGAAACGTCCAAGCAACTCCTCCCGTCTAACTGCCACAACCCCTTAAGGCAGGGGTAGGCAACCTCGGCTCTGTTATGTCTCGTGGACTTCAACTCCCAGAATTCCTGAGCCAGCATGGCTCAGCTCAGAAACCTCTCCCTTTCCCCTCAGCATGGCTGGCTCAGGAATTCTGGGAGTTGAAGTCCACGAGTCATAAAAGAGCCGAGGTTGCCTACCCCTGCCTTAAGGGCAAAGAAATTTAACATCTTTACCGGGCCATTTATTATACATAATTTTTTTCAAAACCCCAAAGGAAAGAGTTGGGAATGGGGGTGATTGTTTTAAAAAAATAAGGCACAATTGCAGAAATGGAAACTTTAAAAAAAAATGGTTTTCAAACATTAAAATGTGTGTTGTGGGGAAACCCACCCTGACACAAACTGGTTTGGCATTCTTAATCCTTGCCGTGCGTTTTTGCCGTGCGTTATCAGCTCAAGGCAAACACAAGCCCCGGTGTAGATTGTGCACTCTGCGTTTGTACACGGATCCCATCTTCACAGCATTTATGCCAGGTCTTGACTTGCACTTTTTCAAAGGTTGTTGCTCACCACACCTGCCACCGAGACCCTGAACTAAAACTGTGTTTCTCAACTTCAGCAACTTTGAACTCTTGAGAATGTCCAACTCCCAGCATGCTGGCTAGGGAATTCTAAGAGTCTTTTTGCAGGCTGACATCAAACAGTACATGACTGGACTAAAGAACTGAGATCAGACACTGTGGCCTTCAATAGAACAGTCATATTTAAAGTCAGCCACGCCGACGATTGCATGGTTAAAACAAAACAAGAATGCCCAATCCTTTGGCGGAGAGGAGATGACCGCTGAGGAAGAAACTCAACAAGTTTCAAGATGCAAAGTTTATTTCCCCATTTAGTTCGTGAAAAACAGTATGAAACACTAGCATCATGTCATATTAAAGAAGGCTTGAGAATCAGAGGAAGTCCAACGTTACTAGCACACAACTTTTTTTCTTCTGGTCGAGGGCTAAAAAGCGGCTGAGGCCGAGACACATGAAATTTCACTGAAGTTTATTTAAAGGTAAATTTAATCTATTTAATTAAATAGTTAATATGATTATTCCCCATTATATTTAATAATTGACTAGTTCACATCAGGTAAGACATAACTATGAGGAAATCGAAGGTTAACAAAAATCCACGTGAGCGGGATGAATTAAATAAATCCTGCCCCTCCCCCCCCAAGCTAGGCTGAACCAGGAAAAGTGATCGGCAAAAATTGAAGTCAGGCAAAAAAAAAAAAAAAAATATGTGGTGTTCACAAAATGCAATAACCAAGTTTACTGGATTAAACTACCACCAGATGAAGTCGTGGGCACTTAATAATGTTATGTGTTCTAGCAAAAGCCATTAACCACGAGAGCTGAACGGGACTCTCCAGCTTCAGGGCGACGCGTGCCTGAATTTCAGTTGCTCGTGGACAAGCAGCAGATGAGAATCTTCCTATCTTTTAAGACCAAGTTTCCTTATTACTTCGTGGTGAGAGGTTGTGTGGTTCAAAGATCGTTGGGGCAAGACCGGGTTTCAGTACTGTTTCAGTTCTTTGCCAAAAAAAAAAAAAAAATCCCTACTCTAAGGCACTCTTAGTTCTTTGTTTTAGATGTCAGCATGATAAAACAGAAATATGGAGCAAAGAGTCAGTCTAAGAAAAATGAGGGTTTTAATCGGGAAACTGAAACAAAGAATAAGAAACTGATTACAGGAGAGCTAACATCTCAGCCAAAGGAACATGACTATACAACTTGGGAGCCATTCCATATCCTATGTCGTCTGAAGAGGAGGCCCTCAGATCACTTATCTAAGAGCAAAGAAATCGTACCAGCCAGTTCCATACTTGCGGAGGCCAGATGCTTCCAGTGGTGTCTTTGCCCATCCAAACAGGTAAGCTGTGCTGGATGATGGACCTTTTTTTTCAGGCTGAGCTTCTCTACCGTGGCAGGAAGTAGGAAGGAACTGCGATGGAGGAAAACCTGGATGAGCAGAAAGCAAACTCTTTGCCTCTTCTGGCCCCGGTAACGGCTGAAATTTTAAGAACCGTATAGAAAGTAGTATACATATTTATAAATGCCAAAATAAATATCAAAAAGAAACAGGCTTATGATCCTACCCCTAACGTGCATGCATACACGCCCAGCAAGAGAGAGCGAAAAAGGCAGAAATGATGATCGTTTATAAAGACATCCCTATATAGGAAAAAGACGAAAAACTGTCGACCGGTGATCAGCCAGCTCCCCCTCTCTCTCACTCGCACACACACACACAGGCATACACACACGCACACAGACAGAGTTTCCTTGCCTTCACTTGCTGGGGAGGAGAGAAAAGAGGGAAGTAGAACACAGCCACAGCCACATGGACAAGGAATGTCATGGTAGAAATACATTGAATCAGTGGTTTCCAAATAGCTAAAATTAAAAAGATCCCACAAGGAAGGACGCAAGATGGGGGCATCAGGGTGAAAAGGTAGTCATTTCCAGAGAGACCCGTTGCCACAGATCCTTGGTCTGTTTGCTGCGTTTCAGATTCTGAAGGATGTCGTTGAACTGCATCATGCCCATCGGAGTCAGGCAGAAGGCGCTTCGGGCGCTGCGGATGGCATTCACAAAGTCGTCGTAGTCCGCTGGAGTGAGATGGATCAGACGATGATGGATGTACTTGGGGAAAACCAAGATAAAAACAGGGATGAAATACAGTTTCTGGTGGAACAACCCATTTTGTAATCCGAAGAGTGCCTTCCCTCTATGACAGTGTTTCTCAACCTTGGCAACTTTACGATGTGTGGACTTCAACTCCCAAAATTGTCCAGCTAGCAACACTAGCTGGAGAATTCTGGGAGTTGAAGACCACACATCGTAAAGTTGCCAAGGTTGAGAAACACTGCTCTATGAGGAGCCATAGGAATCTAGATCAGTGGTAGCAACTAGGGCCTCTTTATGACCTTTCTGTGGACTTCAACTCCCAGAATGCCTAAAACAGTATGGCTGGCTCAGGAATTCTAGGAATTTGAAGCCCACAGGTTGAAGGAGCTGCCCACAGTTGCCCACCCCAATCTAGATGGACTTATTACGGTTCCCAATTGTATAGATAAATGCCAAAACAGTTCAATGGTCCATCTTCTTCTTACACTACGTTTCTCTCACCCTTCTCCAAAATGCTCAAAGTGACCCGGTCCCTCCCAACTGTACAGTTAGTCTCATAGTTACTTTGGGTAGAAGATAAAATAATGGGCAAACATACAAATCAATCCTAAAGTATTAATGGGTGGGCAGAAATCTAAAGCTAGGTCTTGGCCACCACAGTTCTGTATCTCCTGAGATCCCACCTCAGAAAAAGAGGTGACAGGCAGAGCTAGGAGAGGGAAGAGTAAAGGTGCTTTAAGACAGGGGTCCCCCAACCTATGGGCCGTGGCCCACTACCTACTAGCGCCCGTGGACCCATTTGCGCATGTTCATGGGGCTAGCTGCAGTGGTGGCTAGCTCCTGCGCGATGCGCAAACGGCCACTAGCCCTGTGCGGGTGCACGCAACCCTGTTCACACGTGGCCCCGTTCACACACGGGCGCACACACAAATTTCCCAGCTGCTCCCTTCCCCAGCATGAAAAGGTTGGTGACCTCTGCTTTAAGACCAAGTCAACTCCTGGTAATTTCCCTGGATGTATCCTTCTAGTTTTCTTGACAATAATACAGAATTGGATTCACTAGCCTAAATGCCTCTGCTGTGCCCCTCTGTTGTGCTCCTCCAACAACGACTGAGACTCAATCTTGCTAAGCCCCCCAGTTCGAAGAGGGCTTATCCAGGGGGGTGCCATATGCCAAGTAGAAGGAAAGCCAAGAGAAAGGTCTCCCAATGAATCAACAAGTAACCTGTACTGCCTGACCAAATGTTTCCCACAAAATGAGAGGTGGAATCACGAAGTCCCTCTTCTGGTAGTTCTTCAGAAAAAAATGGGAAAGTTGGGAAAACCCGACATGAATAACCTGCTGCCTTAATCCGCTTACAACTGATCTCACGTAATTATGTTCCGCAACAGCCGTATTGCTCCGTTCTCCCAAAAGAGGGAGAACATTTCAAGTTCACAAAGATTCCTAGATAAAGCAACCAACTTTCACCATGAAGAAGAAAGCCCGTCCATACCTGAATATACGCCTGCTGGCATCTCTGCACCAACTGGTGAAAGGCAGGGGTGCGCAAGTGGTTGTGGACATGGGCAGGGTTGAGTCTCTGCAGGGACTCCATGATGATCTCTTGCAGCACAAAAGGACTCAGGACTCCCTTGGCTGCACCGACACAAAACTGATGTACGTAGTTCACCCCTGCGAAGAGGAAAGGCAGTTACGAAAGTAATTGAGAAAGTAAGGCGTAGGAAATAAGTCCCTGCGTTCGAGTGAGTGAGGGATTGAATGAGTAAGTGAGTTGAGAGATGTTCCTTTTCTGAAAGGAGAACAAAACCAGCAGCTATCTTGGAGACTGTACCCAAGAAAAGGGGATAAGATCTATTATCAATTATTTTTCAACCACTGGCAATTAAAAATAATGCGGGATAGGATCTACAGAGAGCCACTTGATGCCAAAGGCAACCAGCTTTAAATTCTCTTTTTAACTTTTAAGACACCTGTACTGTAAATAACTGCAAGGCGATCAAACTGGTCAGTCCTAGAGGAGATCAACCCCGACTGCTCTTTAGAAGGCCAGATCCTGAAGTTGAAACTCAAGTACTTTGGCCACCTAATGAGAAGGAAGGACTCACTGGAGAAGAGCCTAATGCTGGGAAAGATTGAGGGCAATAGAAGAAGGGGACGACACAGAATGAGGTGGCTGGACGGAGTCACTGAAGCAATAGGCGTGAGCTTCAATGGACTCCAGAAGATGGTAGAGGACAGGAAGGCCTGGAGGAACGTTGTCCATGGGGCTGCGATGGGTCGGACACGACTTCGCAACTAACAACTGTAAATAACATTTTAAAAAAACAGCTGCCAACTTATTACATTGAAGATTTCAAGCTGGAAAATGTACTAGAAGCACCCTTAATTTTTACTGACTACTTTTCACCACAGAAATCAGCGGCTCTAGCAATTTTTAGGCAATAAATTACAACACTCTAGATATGCCTTGGGGTGCATTTTCCCTCCCCTTCACATTAGGGTGTCTACGGATCTTACCTAATTTGGCCGCTAGTCCCAGGAGCCACTTCACATCTTCTGTGTAGGGGGGGCTGCGTGAGAAGTTGTTGGGGTGGTCATTGTGAGCCCGGCGACCAAGCATCTCCAACGCCAACATCCCTGAAGGGGAGAGCAAATTTAACTCTCCAGTGGGCCAAAGGCTTCCTCACTCACACTTCCCACACAGGCAAAGAGAGAAGTTTGAGCCGACAACCTTTTGGGCCTTCATCTTGTTAAAATATAAGCCTTAATTGTAAAGCCCCCTGCACCATGGGAAAAGGTGGGAAAAGCAGCCTGTGGGACAATTTGTAACAAAGAAAAACCATATGGGGAAGAAGCTAAATTAGAAGAGTATTGATTTGTTTCTTTTAAAAAAAGGAAGAACCTTGGGACTCTGCAAAGGTTAAAGATTAAAGACTGGGAAGGGTAACAAAGGTTTGGCACGAGGGTCAGTCTCTTTTTTTGCCTTCTTTAGTGTTGGTAATTAAAAGAATTCCCATGAGAATCTTCTTCCCATGTTAATTTCTTTTTAGAAATTTATAAAGCGGTCCAAATCTATAGCAGCGTGTAGTAAAAACAACCAGACAATACAGCTGAAGCCCCAAAAAATATACCAACACTAGAAGAAAAACAACCAAAAAGGCAACCAAAAATACAAGACCTGCCTGCCCATTCTGTTCCAAAACCTGGGAAAAGAATCAGATTCTCAGAGCTTTTTTGCACATGGCTGGACGTTTGTGTGCTTTTTCTAAACAACAGGTACCACAACAGAGGAGCCCTACTGGGCCCTGTTCCTTAATGGATGAAAGCATGTGAACTTTGCTTGATCCATACAGGAGCTACGGGAGATGGAAAGTCCTTTAAAAATAACCAGGTCCTATGCCAGCGATGGCGAACCTTTTAGAGACCGAGGGTCCAAACTGCAACCCAAAACCCACTTATGCATTGTCGAGTGCCGGGTGGATGTGGCCCATTGGGTGGGCATGGCCCATTGGTGGGCGTGGCTGCGGTGGTAACGGCAGAGTGGGTGGGACTAAAAAGTTCAATCAATCAATTCCAACTTTGCAAGATCTTTTTTTTTTCCGCGAGAAGTTGAAATTCACTGATTGAACCTTTTTTTTGGGTTTTTTTTGGCGCACGGCGGCAGAGGCCTAAAGCGAAAAGGTTTTATAAAACCCAGCTGGAGGCCTAGGACTGGGGCGACGGCGCACGTGCCCACAGAGAGGGCTCTGAGTGCCGCCTCTGGCACCCGTGCCATAGGTTCGCCACCACTGGCCTATGCCATGAAAGACTTTGCAGGTAATAAACAGCACCCTGAATTGCATTTGGAAGGCAAGTGGTGACTCACGGACCAAAGGTGCTACATGGGTCTGTTGAGATGCATACCTGCCTATGCTGCAGCATTCTCCTTCACCAGTTGTATCTTCCAAGGGGCTATCAAGGGCAGCCCCATGCATAGCCCATTGCAATAGTCCATGCCTGTTGGACTTCATTATCACTCTAACAAGGAGCGAAACTCAGACTGGCCATATTTATCATTGTTCAAAAACACTGAGAAAGTGCCCAGAGCAGTGAATCGAGACAGCCAGAGTTTTCAGAACTAAGGAAGATGCATTTTTTTAATGTCCTGAATCCAGAATGAATACCCTGATTGCTTGCGATCATCCATTTGGTCTACGGTCCCCAATTTTTAAGACTGCTTTCTGGTCTCCAAGAAAGTTGGAAGATCAATGAACAAAATTGTTAACGAATACAATTTCCTGCAACTACAATTAATCCCGTGTCTCTTCTCATTCCCCTGAATTATTTATAATAATAATAATGATAACAACAACAACAACAACAACAACAACAACAACAATAATAATAATAATAATAATAATAATAATAATAAAGTTGGAAGGGACCTTGGAGGTCATCTAATCCAACTCCCTGCTCAGGCAGGAAACCCTATACCATTTCAGACAAATGGCTGTCCAGTCTCTTCTTAAAAACCTCCAGTGTTGGAGCATCCACCGCTTCTGGAGGCAGGTTGTTCCACTGGTTCATTGTTCTCACTGTCAGGAAGTTTCTCCTTAGTTCTAGGTTGCTTCTCTCCTTGATTAGTTCCCATCCGTTGCTTCTTGTCCTGCCTTCAGGCGCTTTGGAGAAGAGCTTGACTCCCTCTTCTTTGTGGCAGCCCCTGAGATACTGGAAGACTGCTATCCTGTCCCCCCTCGTCCTTCTCTTCGTTAAACTAGACATACCCAATTCCAGCATCCGTTCATTATATGCTTTAGCCTCCAGTCCCCTAATCATCTTTGTTGCTCTTCTCTGTACTCTCACCAGGCTAAACTAGGGAATCTAAACTTCCATCTACGAATGGCAGGGCAGGCAAGCCTTCCCAGGCAGCTGTTAATAGATTATGCATCGCTTTTGCTCTGAATGCCAGCAGAGAACACAGAACGAATCACCGTTTGCGGTCCTTACCAACTCGGTAGGCGGAATGAAGATAGTGCAACCCTTGAGCACTGACCGGCTGGCTGTGTTGTTCGTCTTCAGAAGGAAAGCCCCCCGTCACAAGGGAGCTGGGCTGAGAAGACAAGCTTGTTAAGGAAGTCCCTTGAATTGCTGGGAAAGTAGACCCTGCGTGAACACTTCCTACTGGAGAGAAGAAACAGCCGTATAAAGGGGAGAAATCAAAAGACATCAGCTACAGGATTTCAGCTATACATGGATACATGTCAGGGATTCATATTAATTAACCTGGTGGAAACATGGTAGCAGAGAATAAACAGACTGGGTTATAACACTGTATGCCTGATCGTTCTAAAAGTGGACTTATTTCCCTAATTTTTGGGGATGTTTCCCAACACCTGAGCCTTTCTCTATCCTCTCTCATTTTGCATAATTGTTCTGTCCCCGTTCCGACCCACACACCCAAACAGCCAGCCGAGGGTTTAAAGACTTCTCCAGACACCAATGCACAGATAAGAAACTTGGCAGCAGCTCCGTAGCTGCCTGCCAAGACCTTTTTACTCCAAACACACAGAAACAAAAACAATACACACAGTTTTGAAACCACAGCACACTACTTTGCCAGAGATTCAGNCAACATCCCTGAAGGGGAGAGCAAATTTAACTCTCCAGTGGGCCAAAGGCTTCCTCACTCACACTTCCCACACAGGCAAAGAGAGAAGTTTGAGCCGACAACCTTTTGGGCCTTCATCTTGTTAAAATATAAGCCTTAATTGTAAAGCCCCCTGCACCATGGGAAAAGGTGGGAAAAGCAGCCTGTGGGACAATTTGTAGCAAAGAAAAACCATATGGGGAAGAAGCTAAATTAGAAGAGTATTGATTTGTTTCTTTTTAAAAAAGGAAGAACCTTGGGACTCTGCAAAGGTTAAAGATTAAAGACTGGGAAGGGTAACAAAGGTTTGGCACGAGGGTCAGTCTCTTTTTTTGCCTTCTTTAGTGTTGGTAATTAAAAGAATTCCCATGAGAATCTTCTTCCCATGTTAATTTCTTTTTAGAAATTTATAAAGCGGTCCAAATCTATAGCAGCGTGTAGTAAAAACAACCAGACAATACAGCTGAAGCCCCAAAAAATATACCAACACTAGAAGAAAAACAACCAAAAGGCAATCAAAAATACAAGACCTGCCTGCCCCATTCTGTTCCAAAACCTGGGAAAAGAATCAGATTCTCAGAGCTTTTTTGCACATGGCTTGACGTTTGTGTGCTTTTTCTAAACAACAGGTACCACAACAGAGAAGCCCTACTGGGTCCTGTTCCTTAATGGATGAAAGCATGTGAACTTTGCCTGATCCATACAGGAGCTATGGGAGATGGAAAGTCCTTTAAAAATAACCAGGTCCTATGCCAGCGATGGCGAACCTTTTAGAGACCGAGGGTCCAAACTGCAACCCAAAACCCACTTATGCATTGTCAAGTGCCGGGTGGGTGTGGCCCATTGGCTGGGTATGGCCATTGGGTGGGCATGGCCCATTGGGTGGGCATGGCTGCGGTGGTAACGGCAGACTGGGTGGGACTAAAAAGTTCAATCAATTCCAACTTTGGGAGATCTTTTTTTTTTTCCGCGAGAAGTTGAAATTGACTGATTGAACCTTTTTTTTTTTTTTTGGGTGCACGGCGGAGGAGGCCTAAAGCAAAAAGGTTTTATAAAACCCAGCTGGAGGCCTAGGACTGGGGCGACAGTGTGCGTGCCCACAGAGAGGGCTCTGAGTGCCGCCTCTGGCACCCGTGCCATAGGTTCGCCACCACTGGCCTATGCCATGAAAGGCTTTGCAGGTAATAAGCAGCACCTTAAATTGCACCTGGAAGACAAGTGGTGACTCACGGACCAAAGATGCTACATGGGTCTGTTGAGATGCATACCTGCCTGTGCTGCAGCATTCTCCTTCACCAGTTGTATCTTCCAAGGGGCTATCAAGGGCAGCCCCATGCATAGCCCATTGCAATAGTCCATGCCTGTTGGACTTCATTATCATTCTAACAAGGAGCGAAACTCAGATTGGCCATATTTATCATTGTTCAAGAACACTGAGAAAGGCCAAATGCCCAGAGCAGTGAATTGAGACAGCCAGAGTTTTCAGAACTAAGGAAGATGCATTTTTTTAATGTCCTGAATCCAGAATGAATACCCTGATCGCTTGCGATCATCCATTGGGTCTATGCCCCCCCCCCCCAATTTTTAAGACTGCTTTCTGGTCTCCCAGAAAGTTGGAAGATCAACGAACAAAATTGCTCATGAATACAATTTCCTGCAGCTACAATTAATCCCGTGTCTCTTCTCATTCCCCTGAATAATAATAATAATAATAATAATAATAATAATAATAATAATAATAATAATAATAATAATAATAATAATAATAATAATAATAATAATAATAATATTATTATTATTATTATTATTATTATTATTATTATTATTAATAATAATAAAGTTGGAAGGGACCTTGGAGATCATCGAGTCCAACCCCCTGCTCAGGCAGGAAACCCAATACCATTTCAGACAAATGGCTGTCCAGTCTCTTCTTAAAAACTTCCAGTGTTGGAGGATTGACTGTTTCTGGAGGCAGGTTGTTCCACTGGTTAATTGTTCTAACTGTCAGGAAGTTTCTCCTTAGTTCTAGGTTGCTTCTCTCCTTGGTTAGTTTCCATCCGTTGCTTCTTGTCCTGCCTTCAGGCGCCTTGGAGAATAGCTTGACTCCCTCTTCTTTGGGGCAGCCCCTGAGATATTGGAACACTGCTATCATGACCCCCTCGTCCTTCTCCTCGTTAAACTAGACATACCCAATTCCAGCAACTGTTCCTTATATGTTTTAGCCTCTAGTCCCCTAATCATCTTTGTTGCTCTTCTCTGTACTCTCACCAGGCTAAACTAGGGAATCTAAGCTTCCATCTACGAATGACAGGGCAGGCAAGCCTTCCCAGGTAGTTGTTAATAGATTATGCATCGCTTTTGCTCTGAATGCCGGTAGAGAACACGGAAAGAATCACCGTTTGCGGTCCTTACCAACTCGGTAGGCGGAATGAAGATAGTGCAACCCTTGAGCACTGACCGGCTGGCTGTGTTGTTCGTCTTCCGAAGGAAAGCCCCCCGTCACAAGGGAGCTGGGCTGAGAAGACAAGCTTGTTAAGGAAGTCCCTTGAATTGCTGGGAAAGTAGACCCTGCGTGAACACTTCCTACTGGAGAGAAGAAACAGCCGCATAAAGGGGAGAAATCAAAAGACATCAGCTACAGGATTTCAGCTATACATGGGATACATGTCAGGGATTCATATTAATTAACCTGGTGGAAACATGGTAGCAGAGAATAAACAAACTGGGTTATAACACTGTATGCCTGATCATTCTAAAAGTGGACTTATTTCCCTAATTTTGGGGGATGTTTCCCAACACCTGAGCCTTTCTCTATCCTCTCTCATTTTGCATAATATTGGTAAAAGGCAAAAAAATTACACCAAAACAGCCCGTGTCCCAGCTCCTCACTGGGAATGACAGAACTTCTCCCCTCTCTATACCAGGGCTTTTCAACCAGTGGTACGGGTAGCACCTGTGGTACATTGGCACCTGGCAGGTGGTACGCGACCATCCTAGAAAAGTGGTAACGAGGGAGGGGAATGAGTTGGACCGGTGGCAGCACCGCACAAGCCTGAGCGAGAGATGGCTGGAGCTGCAGGGCTGTCAGGGCTCAGCGGAAGCACCAGGATCAGTGCCAGGCTCCAGCTGGAGCTCAGCGATGATCCTGGTGCTTCTGCTGAGCCCAGAAGAAGCGCCGATCAGCTGGAATGTTGCAGCATCTCCAGGGTCTTGTGATTTACATTCAGATGCTTGGCAACTGATTCCTATTTATGACGGTCACACTGTCCCAGGGTCATGTGAAGTGACCAAAACCTGCTGCAACCACCCAGGAGACGGGGGGAATAAAAACCAAACACCCCCCCACCCCACCCCCACTGCCAATCCTCAACAGAAATGCTCACAACAATGAAAACCTCGGACAGGAAGAAGAGCGCCGCCGGGTGGGCAGGCAGATGTCTTGCTTGGCTGTGCCTTGGGGGGCACTTTTTTCAGTGCCACTGTAACTTTGAACAGTCACTAAGCGAACTGTTGTAAGTCAAGGACTACCTGTACTTTATCACTTTTTTCCTTTTTTTTTTTTTGGTCAAGTTTTTGACACCTTGCTAGGCGACGGGTGGTACTCGGATGTTGCCATATCCTAAAAGTGGTACAATGGGTGAAAAGGTTGAAAAGCCCTGCTCTATACGAGTACTTCTAAAAAAGTATTTGCAATAAGCTAACATGTCATCTTCTATTTAAACAGAACAGAAGAGTGAAATCCTAAAGGCACAATGTCTGTTAACACTGGTTTAATTACACAGAAATTGATGAGAGGGGGAGGCTAGTTGACTCACAGTTTTTATGGAGTGTTCCAGATAACATCTCATGACATATTCTTGCAACATCAAAAAGTAAGAAAGACAACCTGGCAACATAGATGAAAATAGGAACTCATGGGATTCAATTATGTCAGGCCATCGGACAAATGCAGATAGCGAAGGCCCAGTTCTTACTACTGAAGGATAAGAAAAAGGAAGATTTGAGACCCACATCTCAGGGGAAGTGACAAAGATCAGGAAGCCGTGGCAGGCTGAAGACTTTTGTTACCAATAGGAAAGAAGAGAAAACATATGAAGGCAGATATTCCAGGTGTACCGGAGTAGTAGTCCTTATAGTAATCACTGCCCATGTGCTACTCTGTTGACACGCATGGAATATTGTGTATTCTTTGGGGAGACATTTAAAGATTGGTGGGTTATTTGAGGAAACACATTTTGTTCCATTTAAGTAAGTAAATGTTGGGATAGAAACAATTATTTTTTTGCCTATCACTAAAATCCTGAAAACTTGAAATCCAAAGAAGCCGTTCTAGTTTTTAACCTGAACTCAATACTACTTATGGACTGGGTGAATTGATTCAGATTAGACCAGTGATGGCGAACCTTTTAGAGACCGAGTGCCCAAACTGCAACCCAAAACCCACTTATGCATCGTCGGGTACCGGGTGGGCGTAGCTGCGGTGGTAACGGCAGACTGGGTGGGACTAAAAAGTTCAATCAATCAATTCCAACTTTGCAAGATCTTTTTTTTCCCCGCGAGAAGTTGAAATTGACTGATTGATTGAACCTTTTTTTTTTTGCACACGGCGGCAGAGGCCTAAAACGAAAAGGTTTTATAAAACCCAGCTGAAGGGCCTAGGACTGGGGCGACAACGCGCGTGCCCACAGAGAGGGCTCTGAGTGCCGCCTCTGGCACCCGTGCCATAGGTTCGCCACCACTGGATTAGACAGTGGTGTAAAACACTTCTTGGCCAAATTTTTAACTTAGCAATTAGATCTACTCTCTAGGTAACACAAAGGAGATTTGAACGTCTTACCACAAACTTGTAATACACAAAAGACACTGATTTTTAAGTAGCTTAATTTTATTCGTTTACTCATTAATTTGCATAAAAATCTTATTTTTCATCAAGCACCACATCCCATCGGTTTGCAAATTCTTGAAGGAACGCCACTCAAGTGACCTTATGTGAGCGAGCAGATAAATTCTTCATACAGATAGGAAATGAGGGTGATACAATAGAAACAGAAATTAAAATGCTGAATTTAAATACAATTGTGGACTCGATGTAGATATTCAAAGTCAAATTACAGCTTACAATTTGAGTGCTGCACAGCGTAGATTTCTGCCCAAAACCAACACCGAGAATAATATCCGAGACCAAGTTAAACTGAGTTTTTGACTCATGGTGAAATGTACTTGCGTATTTATAAAACATTTATACATTTATAAATGTTGATAAATTATTTACTACAACTCACCAATAAATACCAAAGTCTCTATCAGACCTTAAAATGTTTCTGCAACTTAAAATGATTTTTTCCCTCTTTTTTGGGAATTTTTCCTTCACTGGGGAGAGACAGACACTTTGAAAACATTTCATTAATCTGAAACAGGTTTAGAAAGTGGCTTACTGCTTCCCCAAGACTGAAGATCTGCCTTTTAAAACATTTCTGTTCACATCTATGAGTTGGCATTAAAACCGGCATACATATGGGACTTAACATCAATCAAATTAAAGCAATTTAATCTGTTTTTTTCTTGTTTTGTTCCATTATCTATAAGACTGGAGACATTCTCTGCAACAGTGGAGAGGCTGATGAGAAAAGAATGTGTTCACATATTGTAGGGTTCCTATTCAATTTTCTATTTTCCCCTTCTTTTCAGATAATTAAAATCTAGCCTTAGAAAAAATCAACAAGTATAACTTAGTCTCTGAGAATGTTTTTTTTTTTTTCATATATTGCTGGCATTGCCTCTCTCAGATGTTCTGCCTTCTTCTGGTATTTCTGATGCACTTTTTCAATTAGTCAATGCTATATTTCAATCACATTTTTAAATAAATTTTGTAATAATTTTCTGCATGGCAAAAAAAATGTTTCAGTATGTTGCTTGTACTATCTGTCGGTTAAATCATTTTGTTTTGAGCATGTCTCCTTTTCTTCAGGAAAAACTGTTTGTGTGTGTGTGTATGTGTGTGTGTGTGAGAGGGGGGGGGAAGGGAGAACATCCTTGTCTCAAGGTTTCATAAATCAGTGTTTCCAGGTGAAATGGGCAATCTATAGTCAGCAAAGCCTACAAAAGTTCTTTTGAGTACTTCCCAAGGACAGACAACATTTTTGGACTTCTGGCTATTTTGGGGAACCTGAGACAGAAATAAGACACCATCACAAAAGGGCTGTGATTAGGTCCAAGAACCCTGGGATCAGGGTAATTATAACTGCTTTGGGGGTTGTTTCTGTTCCTGCTGTTTAAATCAGTAAAGTGATGGGAACATAACCTCAATCTCCAACTTTGAAACTGATTTACTGAAATTCACATAAACACATCAAATCTCTAGAACAGGGGTAGTCAACCTTGGCTCTTTTATGACTCGTGGACTTCAACTCACAGAATTCCTGAGCCCTTTCCCCTCAACATGGCTGGCTCAGGAATTTTGGGAGTTGAAGTCCACGAGTCATAAAAGAGCCAAGGTTGACTACCCCTGCTCTAGAACATCTCTTAAACATGAATGCAAATGGGATGGGAAAGTAGAGCTCGGGGTGTGGTGTAAACACAGGTAATCTTGGGCATATGAATTTCTGTCACTAAGTGACATCAAGTGATCTCATTACTTCAAACCACAGAATGGAATAGAGCTGGAAGGGACCTTGGAGGTCTTCTAGTCCAGCCCCCTGCTCAAGCAGGAGAACCTATACTGTCTCAGACAGGTGAATGTCCAGTCTCTTCTTAAAAATCTCCAGTGATGGAGCGCCCACGATTTCTGGAGGCAAGCTGTTCCACTGGTCGATTGTCCTCACTGTCAGGAAGTTTCTCCTTAAGTCCAGGTTGCTTCTCTCCTTGATCAGTTTCCAACCATTGTACCTCGTCCTGCCCTCTGGTGCTTTGGTGAACAACTTGGCCCCCTCTGCCTTGTGGCAGCCCCTCAGATACTGGAACACTGCTATCATGTCTCCCCTATTTCTTCTTTTCTTTAGACTAGCCAAACCCAAGTCCCGTAGCCGTTCTTCGTATGTTTTAGTCTCCAGGCTTTTAATCGCCTTTGTTGCTCTTCTCTGAATTTTTTTCCAAAGTCTCAATATCTTTTTTTTGTAGTATGGTGACCAAAACTGGCTGCAGTATTCCAGGTGTGATCATACTAGGGTTTTATAAAGCGGTACTAATATCTTGCGTGATCTTGATTCTATGCCTCTGTTTATACAACCCAGGATTGTATTAGCTTTTTTGGTTGCTGCTGCACAGTGCTGGCTCATAGTCAAGTGATCGTCCGCTAGGACTCCAAGGTCTCTTTCACAATTACTGTTTTTAAGCCAGATCTCGCCCAATCTGTATTTGTACCTTTGGGGTTTTTTTCTGCCTTATTGTAAGACTTTGCTTTTCTCCACATTGAAACTCATTTTGTTGGATAGGGCCCATTGTTCAAGTTTGTCAAGATTTTGGATCCTGAGTTTGTCTTCTGGGGTGTGGGCTACTCGTGTCAGTTTGGTGTCACCTGCAAATTTGATGAGTTCCCCTTCAATTCCCTCATCTAAGTCATTTATTAAGATATTGAAGAGTGCTGGGCCTAAGACAGAGCCTTGTGGTACCCCGCTACTTACTTCTCTCCATGTGGATGTGGTGCCATTGAAGACTACTTGTTGAGAACAGTTTGTCAGCCAGCTACAGATCCACCTGGTGGTGATGTTGTCTATTCCACCTTTTCCTAGCTTACCAAGGAGTAGGTTGTGGTCTACTTTATCAAATGCCTTACTGAAATCTAAGTATACTACGTCCACTGCGTTTCGCTGATCTACTAGTTTAGTCACTATCCTGATCATTTAAATGGGAAGAGGTAGGAGTCACAGGCAAATAGGCTAGTGCAGGGGTAGGCAACCTCGGCTCTTTTATGACTCATGGACTTCAACTCCCAGAATTCCTGAGTCAGCTATGCTGAGAGCTGTGGGTATGTGTCATGGGTGAGTGCTAGGGAGTGAGGGCAAGTGCCATAGGCCAGGGGTGTCAAACACGCAACGTCATGTGACGTGTCGCAACGTATCGCGACTTTTTCCCCATTGCCGTAGCTGGGGTGGGTGCGGTTTTGGCATGACGCATCCGGCCCATGGGCCGGCACTTTGACACCCCTGCCATAGGCAGAGGAAGTGCTGCAAGCGAGTGATGGCCCAGAACAAATTTTGATCACGTGGCTAATGACCAGAACTTTAAGAACCAGTTACAAGTCCATTTTTTCAGTGCTGTCAGAACTCTGAACACTTGCTAAACAAATGGACGTAGCCAAGGACTATCTATATCAGTGATGGCGAACCTTTTAGAGATTGAGGGCCCAAACTGCAATCCAAAACCCACTTATGTCGTCGGGTGCCGGGTGGGCGTGGTCCATTGGATGGGTGTGGCCAACTGGCTGGGCATGGCCAACTGGCTGGGCATGGCTGTGGTGGTAATGGCAGATTGGGTGGAACTAAAAAGTTCAATTAATCAATTCCAACTTTGCAAGATCTTTTTTTTTCCCCGCGAGAAGTTGAAATTGACTGATTAATTGAACCTTTTTTTTTTTTTGCACACGGCGGCGGAGGCCTAAAGCGAAAAGGTTTTATAAAACCCAGTTGAAGGCCTAGGACTGGGGCGACGGCACGCGTGCCCACAGAGAGGGCTCTGCGTGCCACCTGTGGCACGCCTGCCATAGGTTCGCCACCACGGATCTATATTGTTCCCAAAGTCCCTTCATATCATTAAGTGAGAGGCTTTGTCCTCTGACTTTGCACTGCTCCTTATGAATAAGGCCTGATTGGGGGTCTGAGTAAGGCATGCTGTCCTTTTTCCTCGTTTTGCACTTCACCCCTTTTGGTGCCTTAGTGCAAGGGTCTCTGGAACCAGGCAAGGGGGAGGTATCTCCTGTGGCTTAGGCAACCTCCAGTGCCAACAACTGCTTCCAGCTGTAAACTCATCCCTGTTTGCAAGGAAAGCACAATATTTTGCCTAAGTGCTCCCACTGCTCATTCCACTTCTCTCTTTTTCCCCCACCCCTAAGCACCGGCACTGTGCTTACTCCCTCCCTTTCCCTGCCTCATACTTTATTGTGAGGATGCTGAACGATCTGCAGCCTAATGTAAAATGACCAGTTGCAAATGATAGTTTGTGATGGGCCACATTGCCAATGGAAGCCATTCGGTAATTACGACCGCAACACTGGAAAAAAAAAAAACTAAACGCAGCCCCCAAACGTTCAGAACATTGTGAGAAAAATCTGACAGTTGTAACTCAACCACCAAGAAAAAGGTAGCAGCATAGTGAAAGTTTACTGTTATTATTTAATAATAATAATAGTAAAGTTGGAAGGGACCTCGGAGGTCATCTAGTCCAACCCCCTGCTCAGGCAGGAAACCCTATACCATTTCGGACAAATGGCTGTCCAGTCTCTTCTTAAAAACCTCCAGTGTTGGAGCATTCACCGCTTCTGGAGGCAGGTTGTTCCACTGGTTAATTGTTCTAACTGTCAGGAAGTTTCTCCTTAGTTCTAGGTTGCTTCTCTCCTTGATTAGTTTCCATCCGTTGCTTCTTGTCCTGCCTTCAGGCGCTTTGGAGAATAGCTTGACTCCCTCTTCTTTGGGGCAGCCCCTGAGATATTGGAAGACCGCTATCATGTCCCCCCTCGTCCTTCTCTTCATTAAACTAGACGTACCCAATTCCAGCAACTGTTCCTTATATGTTTTAGCCTCCAGTCCCCTAATCATCTTTGTTGCTCTTCTCTGTACTCTTTCTAGAGTCTCAACATCTTTTTTACATCGCGGTGACCAAAACTGGATGCAGTATTCCAAGTGTGGCCTTACCAAGGCATTGTAAAGTGGTATTAACCCTTCACGTGATCTTGATTCTATCCCTCTGTTAATGCAGCCTAGCACTGTGTTGGCCTTTTTGGCAGCTGCAGCACACAGCTGGCTCATATTTAGGTGATTGTCCACTAGGACTCCGAGGTCCCTCTCACAGTTACTACTATTGAGCAAGGTACCCCTATAGTATACCTGTGCATTTGGTTTTTCTTGCCTAAATATATAACCTTGCTTTTTTTACCATTGAATTTCATTTTGTTAGATAGCGCCCAGTGTTCAAGTCTGTCCAGATCCTCCTGTATCCTAAGCCTGTCTTCTGGAGTGTTGGCTATTCCTGCCAGCTTGGTGTTGTCTGCAAATTTGATGAGTTCCCCATCTATCCCCTCATCCAAACCATTGATATAGATATTGAAGAGCACTGGGCCCAGAACAGAACCCTGGGGCACCCCACTACACACTTTAACACTCTCGTTGGTTGTAGTCACAGGAACAGATGTTGGAAACTAAACGTTAGACGTTTCCACACTAGAAGCCATGCTACAGTATTGTTAATATTTGCAACGATCAGTTAGAGAAAAATCCTGCTAAACTGTCTTTTCACCTGGCATAGGAATACTCACTTGCTACATTGGAAGACAGAGAGAGCCCTGTCTCAGCGTGGTACGGGTGCATGGCGATCTGTGTCATGGAAGGGACAGCGACTCCTGGAAATGACACCGCGGCTGCCGCCAAAGACGGAGTCGTTACCGAGTAGGGGTACTGGGCCCCGATGAACGCTGGGTGGACACCCTGCAGAGAAACAGGATACAGTTGCCAGTTCCTTCACAAAGGGGCAAGACCACATTTTGGGCAGGGGCAATCCGCCCTTCGCATACCCACAATACCATCTCCTGCACATTATTTGAGTTCTGAAAGGGGAAGACGTCCAAATTAAAATATTTTTTTTTAAAAGGTAATATTTCTTAGGGGTGTCACCTAAGAAACCTTGACCAGGGGCATGTGAAAATAATCCATAGCTGCAGGAAGAAACATACCGAGCGTATTTTCATAGAAAAATATCAAGTAAAAATTTATACCAGAGCTTTGCCAACAGTTTGAAAGTTGTAATTTCAGAAATGTAAGACTTTTTGTTGACACGGACAAAAGATAGTACCCATTCTAGTTAGGCAAGGCTAACTCCAACTACTTGTGAATAAAAAAAACCGTGTCCTGGTGTTAATAAGTTACACTCAAGACATTATGATCTCAAATAAAAGAAAAGAGATTCCGATAGCAATTGGTGGACGAAGCTGGATGATCCATCCAAACACAGATTGAGTGAAGCTTCGTTCAAGATTGTCCAAGGGGCACCAATGTGACTGTACAATCATCTCTCTGATCTCCCAGATTCTTAGCCTTTGATTACATCAGAAACATCTGAGAAAAACTCCTCCCAGGAGACTTTTAGGGCAGTGTAGTTGCTATTACTGCTGTGTGTGTAGGTGTGTGCCCACGAGAGGTTGTTGGAAAGCATTTCTCCCCTTGAACAAAAAAGAAACTTTCCTCCCAACGTCCCTGCTCACAAATGAAAAAAGAAATAAAATGCCATTTCTGCCCAGCCATTGCCTAGTCCATGGGTCGGCAACCCACGGCTCCGGGGCCCCATGTGGCTCTTTGAACCTTCTCCTGCAGCTCCCAGTCCTCCTCCGCCATTTGCAGAGAGAGAGACACACAGAGAGAGGCACTTGCGCTTCCCTTCTCCCTCCCTCCCTCCCTCTCTCTCCCTCCCTCTCTCTCTCTCTCTGTGTAAAAAAAAGAGTGGCCTCACGCTGTTCTCAGACAAGCTGACAAGCTTATTGGGCGGGGCTCCTGCCTTTGCTGCATCTCAGCAGGAAGCAGCAGAAAGCAGCAGCTCTCTCTCTCTCTCTCTCTCACACACACACACACACACACACATACACATACACACACACACTGAGTGGGGGAAGAGGACTAGCAGACCAAGGGCAGGAGAGAGCAGCCCAATAAGAATGTGTGTCAGCTTGTCGGAGAACAGCATCAGGCCAGCTGGCCAGGTGAGCAGAAGATCGGAGAGAGGGAGAGAGGGGGGGAAGAAAAGAGGAAGGGAGGGAGAACTCATGCACAGCAGCCTCTATTTCTTTTTAATTAAACTCTTCAATCAAGCCCCCTCCTCCGATGCGCGGGCCTGTGTGTGTTTTGCAGCTCCCAGTGTTTTCTTTTCTGTGGGAAATGGATCCAAGTGGCTTTTTGAGTGTTTAAGGTTGCCGACCCCTGGCCTAGTCCCTGTCATCTGAATTCAAAAGTAGATGTGCCATGGTCAAAGTAGTTATTCTAGACTGTTTTTCTAGACGGTTACAAACAACTTACCTGTGGATAAGCAGAACCGGGCACTGGAAAGACTGCTGGCCGTGGCATGTGCTGAAGAGGATGGCTGATGTATTGAGGATTGCAAGGAATGTGGGTCTGGAGTGTCGTGTAGGGGTGCAGGCCCTGGGTGTGCGCGTGTGCCATTGCTGGTCCTGCCACGGTGTGCTGCTGGTATATGGTGGACCCCACTGAGATCACAGGCACTACCGTGGCTGCTGCCGTCACCGCAGCAGCCACCGTTACTGTGGCGGATTCTGACGTCACTCTGGTGTCTGGCTGTCCACGGACTGTTTCGCACGGCGCCCGGGCTCCGTTTGCACTGCAGCCTGTTGCTCCTTCCCTCTGGGCAAGAGTTACCCCAACCGTTTGCTCATACAACCAGTACCACTGATGAGCAACTTCGAATAGAACTTCAGGATAAACTCCGCCGCCTTTGGCGGCCTCTTCTACAGCCAAGCAAGCCTTCTCCAACATTAGATTATCCTGCAAATTCAAAAGCTACATTGAGATTCAAGGTTTTTTATAGGAGCCTTCAGAAGTAACCTTTTAGAATCAACTATTACAGTGGCAGCGAACCTATGGCACATGTGCCAGAGGCGGCACTCAGAGCCCTCTCTGTGGGCACGCGCGCCGTCGCCCCAGCCCCGCTTCCCCGTGCCCCCCTTCATCAGCAGCCCCCCCTTAGAAGTCACCCCCGGCACGGCTTGCGCAGAGCAGCGCAGCCAAGGACATGGCAGCTGGGCAGCAGGAACAAGACTCCACCCTCATGCCCCATCGTGCGCAGATGATGCTGGGTGTGGCCGCTATGGCGCTGCAGGGCTGCTTGGGTGATCTGCGGCGGGCTATGGAGGCAGTGGGTGGCCCTGCTGGTGGGCGGGGTGTGGACGGGGATGGAGCAGGGAGGACCGGGCGGTTTTGGGGCACTCGGTCTCTAAAAGGTTCGCCATCACTGAACTATTAGAATGAAATACAACTAAGGGCTGCAAGCAAAATTAGCAGTATGAAACAATTAGGCATGGAAAAGGCCCGCTGCTGAGTTACAAAGGGAACAGCTACCTCCCCCTCTGGCTGAACAAAATGAATCAACGATAAGCAGTTCCTACAAATTAGAAATAAATTGCAATTATGAAAATCTGAAGGAGGAGAAGTTTTTAGTATAATATTCTGCCGAACAAAGTTGGAAGTATAAAACAACTGACTGCTCAGTTTTGTTATCGGCGTGAAATTATTAAAAGACGTAGACGTGGAAATGGTTAATCTGCTCATGGTTTACAACCACCGTTGGGACCAGAATTTCCACTGTTAAGCAGGACAGTCGTTAAGTGAATCACACCTAATTTTACGACCTTTTTGCCAGTTGTTAAGCAAATCACTGCAGTTGTTAAATGAATCATGCAGTTGTTAACTGAATCCGATTTCCCCCATTAACTTTGTTGTAAATGGCTGTAAATGGGAATCACGTGACCTGGAGATGCTGCAACCATTGTAAATGCAAGCCGGTTGCCAAGCACCCAAATTGTGATCGGGCGATTGTGTGGATGCTGCAACAGTTCTAAGCACAAGGCCCATTGCAAGTCACTTTTTTCAGTACCATTGTAACTCTGAACAATTACTAAATGAATGGCTGTAAATCTACGACTATCTGTATTCCATTTCTGAAAAATAAACACACAAGGCTGTTTTCCAAAGCCTCAGACGCTAATAAATGGCTCTGCACGATTTATAACAATTTACTTTTATACACAAGAAGCTTTGAAAAAAATTAATATAAAATCACTTTATTCTCCTCAGTGGTTTTATGTATTTGGCTTAACTTAGTTGTTCCTGATTTGTTTTAATTCAGTTTATAGAATTATAAAGCTATAAAACAACATGCCAGTAACTAGAGCAGGGGTAGGCAACCTTGGCTCTTTTATGACTCGTGGACTTCAACTCCCAGAATTCCTGAGCCATGGCTGGGTCAGGAATTCTGGGAGTTGAAGTCCGCGGGTCATAAAAGAGCCAAGGTTGCCTACCCCTGAACTAGAGGAAGGATCTTTCCTACAACACTGAAGTTGCTAGGTAGAGTCATAACTTCACTTTCAAGAGATGCAGCTCCAAAGAACTTGAAAACCAGGGAAGATAACTTTTAAACAATATAGTTTTTGATATGTTTACTCAAGAAGAATGGTAGCCCACATTTCAGTCCTGTTCCACAATGCCATGAAAAAGCTAGGCAGATGCCTGTATTTGCTAGGTGTTGAGGTGAATCAAAGGCTTCTGAATTGCTCACCTGCTCTTTGCACTGGACCAGGGCCCTTTGGATCTCATTGGGGTTCAAGGCATGTGCATGTGGCAAACAGCTCAACGCCAACTCAGCGGCTGATCGCACCATATTGGAATCCCGAGCTCTTGAAGCTCTGTCGGCCAACGATGCCACTTCTGGGGGGGTTAGGTGACCATCCCAGCACTCCACCAAGATATTCAAGGCTGCACTGCCAATCTCCATGGCTTGCCCTAGAGGCCAGATAAAAGGGCAGAAGAAAACCATGTCAGATATGGTTTGTATATTTGTATATTAAGGAATATTTGTATATTAAGGAATCTCAAGGGCTTTTAATTCTTTCCAGTGATCAAATTAAAGACTAGGAAAAAACAGGGGGAAGCCACGACCCTGCCAGCCTCTGCCATTGGTCCATTGAATGCCAGACTGCTTTTGAGAACTTAAAGAGACTATTTGCACCAGAACCCATTCTCAAACATCCCAATCCTGAGAAAAAAAATCATCATTCAAGCTGATGCCAGCAATGTGATGTAGGAGCTGTTCTCTTGCAAAAGAATGAGAATGGGGATTTACAACCCTGCGCCTACACCTCCAAAAAGTTAATGGACACTTAACGAAGGTGGGTGGTTTGGGAGAAAGAGGCTTATGCGGTAAGGTGGGCTCTGCTTACGTGGCGTCACTTCCTTGAAGGAAGTGACTTACCTTTTGAAATATGGACTGATCACAAAAATCTAGAGGCACTGACCAGGGAGATAACTTGGGGGGGGGGGGCTCTCCTAAACAAGTTCGGTGGGCGCAGTATTTTAACCGTTTCAACTTCACGCTAAAATACATCCCGGGAGGAAAAAATTTCCTAGCTGACGCCCTGTCCAGACTGCCCCAATACAAAAGCAGACAAGAGGAGATAGTGAACTCCATTATTCCGCAACCAGAATCAGTCTCTCAAGTAACAACAGGAGGGCCATCACAGGCAAAATCAACTGAACCTGATAGCCCATTAATGAAGAGGCTAAAAGAGGAGTTAAAAAACAATTCCTGGTTCCTGACAAATAAAACCATACTGACTTGCTGGGACGGGTTGGCTTGGAAGGGAATATCTTCATTAGTACAGAAAGAGCTAAAGCTTTACAAACTGTGAATGCTCAAATTGAAAGCTGTTTTTGTTTTACTACACAGGACCAGTTTTAAAGACTGACAAAAACCAGACTTAGAATGGAAACTCAGCGGGGTTCAGGGTGACTCAGAGCTATGATGTAGAAATTATTTATCTTTGGAGCAGTGCACGCTTCTCACATTTTTATATGGCGATCCTATGCAAGGTCATTCTCCCCATTGCTCACCCTAATCTTTTTCACAATAGATAAAACTATAGCTGTAAATGTGAATGGAGTAATGAATGCTTTTTTCCACTGCGCAATATAGCCTCCAGCAAAAGGATAAAAAAGGGGATATAACAGCTGTTACTTAGAACGTTTCCCAGTTTGCAGACCTTCCTGTGTTATACAAATTGTGCTAGGAAACTACTGATAAGACTTCCAGAGCACCACTGGTTATAGAAGGAAGCCACATGGAAGGGCGTCTTAAAAAATAAGACAGATATGTTGTGTGGAACAGCTCAAGCAGATACTACTCCCACCTGTGATCCAAGAGACATGGGAGGAATAAGTCCGAGAGAGCCAGTTTGGCGAGACAAAGTTGTGCAGTCCCAATGCATAGAGTCCAATTTCAAAGGCGCAGAGGTGAAGGTTACGATGAGGCCCTTGGTGGCCACCGCTAGAAGACGGGTGGGTGAAAATGGAGGTGCTGCTGTTTCCCCCAGCCTTAATGAGAACTGTCTTGGCCAACTCAAAATAAAAGTGAGCAGCTGCCTCCGAGGGCTGATTTGGGACGTGGGGGGCATGGCTCTCCGGTCGCCTGCCCTTGTATCTGCAGAAAGAAAAATAACACAGCCGTTAGACAAGTTGAAATGAAACCCAAATAAAATACTCTTGAGATACCTCCAAAAGATAATAAAGCTCCCATTTCTGACTGAGCCTCTCCCTGCTTTAGAGACTCTTTCTTAGGCTAAATGCGGGTCAAAGCCAGGAAACGTTTGTACCATAAACGCACAATTCTAGATGAGCAGCAGCACCCACCTCCCAACCTCCACGGTCTTTGCACGTGCCCCTCCACTGGCCCTCCGACTTCCGCTGGAAGAAGAGGAACCCAAGGAATCACTGGAAGAACTGCTGATGCTGTCGCTGTCCTGTCCCCGGCCCCAGGAGGTAGTTGCCCAGCCCCCTCGGAGGGGGCGCCGACTGAGGGTGGGGGAACTGTCAGAGGTGGTTTCCGGGGCACTGCTATCAATGCTTGCCATTCCTGCAAGGCAGAGAGAACAGGTAAGCAAGCTTAGAGGGCACAAAATAATCAGACCACAATATGGAATACCATCTCATTTTTTCAATATACAGTAGTGGCCAAAATTGTGGAAATCTTTTGGGAAAAGTGTATTTTTGAGGTTTGATGGCTAATAACACAACTTTTTTGGAGGGGAGTAGTACCATAAAATTATAGCTCAATGGAAAGATAATTCAATCAAGAACGTAATGCGACAAAGTTTGTTCAATTGTCTGTGCTCTATTCTATGAAAAGCTATAGCCAAATAACCAGAAAAAGGAAGCACAACTTGCTTAGGTTGATATCGGGGAGCTTTCCTTCATCTGATTGTAGCCAATGAGCATGAGTGTTTAGAGAGCCAATCGGGTGTCATCTTGTTTTGGCAATGAGCCAATCAGATCATGTCCTGTTATTGATGTCCTGTATTGAAGCTGAGAGGAGGACATTTGTCAGTGTGTTATGTGATCGCTATCAAATTAGTTGGGGTTTTTTTCCCTTTCATTTAGTGAGTTTGTAAAACGTAATAAAATTGAAGTCATGGTGCAAAGAGTTGATTGGTTGCCCAGAAAGCGATGTAAAATAGTATTATGAAGTGAACAAGGCTACAATTATAAAGAAATTAGAAGAAAAATTGGTGGAAACTTAACCAAAAGTGGCGTTTCTACTGTACACTTTTCCCAAAAGGTTTCCACAATTTTGGCCACTACTGTACAGGAGATTCTGCCGAAAGTTTAAATCAGAAACTAGAAAATTGACACCATTTGTTTGAGAGCTTCTGGAGGCTCCAATTTAAATTCTGTCCCGTTAGGAAGCATTACAGGTCATTATACTGCCCTGATTTGCAAAGTGTTACAGCAGCTGCCGAGGAATGAAAATGTTGATCGAAGAATTCTCTCCCAGTTTGGCATACGGAAATAAATAAGAGACAAGCTTGACTCCTGTATATTTCCATTTGCCAAACTAAGCCACCTTACTAATTTCAGCTAATTATTTGCCAAATCCTGAACATTATTTACAGCAATAGGTAGGCAAAATTCCCTTCTCACCAAAAGACTGGAGGCAGTGCTTACTTCTCTATTTATAAATAGATTTATAAATAAAATTATTATACATAATTTGGTAGCACCAAAAGAAATTACAATCAACTTCACAGACTATACAAATTTATGCTAACATAGGTTTTTTTTTTCCTTTCCATTCAATTATGTCCAATTCTCAGAGACTTGTTTTCTTAGCAAGGTTTTTTAGAAGTAGTTTGCCACTACCTTCTTCCTAGGGCTGAGAGAAAGTGACTGGCCGAAGTTCACCCAGCTGCTTTGTCTAAGTTGGGACTACAACTCATGGTTTCCCAGTTTCTTGGATGATGACTTGACCACTATCCAAACTGACTCTTCAATATAGATAACGCTGGCCCAGTTTTCACAATCCTAAACCCTTGTAACATCCTCAACCTATTTCTTACCACATTCTGACTTCTATATGCAGCAAAAACAATTAACAGTTTGTTTAAGGTAGGCCTCTCAAAGGTTTTTAGCTATTTTTGATTGGAAAGAACACATTCATATGGTATGTTATGTGTGTGTGTGTGTGTGTTTATGTGTTATACTGCAGATCTTTATGAGTTTAACCCTTATTAATCTATACTTTGGGACCCTTCACCTTCTTAATTTGGAGGAAAATAATTCACATCATTATTTACTTTACAAATGTAATAATTGCAAAGTTACAAATTGATAAGAAGTTCATGCTTCAGGTAGCTATTTGCTAGCCTACCACCAACATGAGTACTTTATGAGATCCATGGTGGTTAGAATACAGTATTGTAGGCTAATTCTGCTGACTGTCAGGGGTTTGTTCCTCACTGGCTCAAGGTTGACTCAACCTTCCATCCTTCTGAGGTTGATAAAATGAGGACCCAGATTGTTGGGGGGCAATATGCTGACTCTGTAAACTGCCTGGAGAGGGCTATAAAGCACTATGAAGTGGTATATAAGTCTAAGTGCTATTTATATGGCTTCATTAAAGTATGTATTTGTATAGCTCTCTATACGTATATCACATCGTATTTTATCTTAATGGTCATCATTAAAACTGGCGAGAGGGAGACAAAGCCCCAGGTCACAAAAAAGATACGCTAACTAATTAATTTTGAACTTCAACAAATCCATCTAGAGCAGGGGTGTCAAACTGCCGGCCCGTGGGCCGGACACGCCATGTGGAAGCCGCGCCCACCCCATTGCCGGCAATGGCAAAACCGGCCCGATACGTTGCGCGACGTCATGTGACGTCGCGAGTTTGACATGTCTGATCTAAAGACTACTAGTAGATTAGGATATTAACAACGGTTCGTGTAGGTTTTCCATTCATAATCAATGAACAAAGCATTTCTCATAAAAATGTTACCTGAAGTCAGCCAGAACTTGCCCTCTGGCTGGCAATCTTTGCCTCAATGCCGTCCCCACTTGCAGAGACCTCTGAACCATCACAGGTCTTCACCCAGTAGCAGAGTTGTGAAGTCCAGCCCCAAGTTACCTGTGTGCTTCTTTTTCTGTCTGACTGGCGAACCCCAGCATCTTCCGTTGTAGCCCCCTCTACTTCCAAGAGCTATTCGGCTAGGAACTTTCCCTTCTTGCTTTAAGATACTGGACTCCACAGGTGGATCACAAGGGGATCTCTGAGGGTTCTCTGGAGAAGCACAAAAGGTCACTTAGAAAGGCAGTAAGAGAAAAGAAGAGCATTTGCAAACAAGGGTCTGTTTCAATGCTACCGCCAAGACTCAGTTCCTTTCCCCCAGAAATATTGACAGTTAAAAGTCCGGGATAGATATTCACAGGCTGATTCGGCCTCCCTATTCCCAAATGGGAAAAACTGTAAATGAATACTGCAGTTGGAAAAGTTTCCTAAAAACAAGAAAAGCAAAACTTCTTTTTGGAATTATTTTACAGCAAATGGCAGACAAACGTTTCAAGAAAAGCTGTAACTGAAAACTTTCAGGTAACCAGAAGACTGAAACCTCTATGTCAAGAAAAAAATTGGTTTTTTATTTCCTTTTTTTAAAAAAAACAAGCTTTATTAATTTTTCAAATTTTTACATCCAAGTAATTAGGAAGCAGTGTGGTGATAGGGCAGACATGTCAAACACAAGGCCCTGGGGCTGGATGCGGCCCGTGAAGTGGTTTCGTGTGGCCCGCGAAGCCATCCTGGAAACAGTGAGGGAACGGCCCCCACTGCCTTGGCCCTGGCCCAGGCCGCCCGGGAGCCAATGTACAATTTTTGTGGTGGCATTCAGTCTTAGCTCCACAAGGCCGTCTGGAAACAGCGAGGAACCAGCCCCTGCCGCATTGGCCCCGCCCCCCTGGGTGCATGCTAGGGAGGTATCACCCTTTGTGAGGAATGAAGAAATGGACCATGCCTTGGCGCTTGCCCCGGTCCCTCCCCCTTCTGCCAGAGACCCTCAGATGTGTCCCACTCCTGCCCAAGCTCCCACAGGCACCCTTGACGTGAACGATGTAGAGCTGGCCATACTCACCCAATAGGCCACACCCACTCTACCCATGCCCACCCACCCTGGCAAAACCACAGCGAGGAACCAGCCCCCGCCGCATTGGCCCCGCCCCCTGGGTGCATGCTGGGGAGGTATCACCCTTTGTGAGGAATGAAGAAATGGACCATGCCTTGGCGCTTGCCCCGGTCCCTTCCCCTTCTGCCAGAGACCCTCAGATCTGCCCCACTCCTGCCCAAGCTCCCACAGGCACCCTTGACGCGTACGATGTAGAACTGGCCATACCCAGTAGGCCACACCCACTCCATCCATGCCCACCTACCCTGGCCACACCCACCTGCCCCCCCCAAGGGCAACCGTAATGCTGATGCAGCTCTCAATGAAATTGAGTTTGACACCCCTGTCATAGGGTAATCAAAAATCCAATAACAGAATCATTCATATATATCTCAGGTTACCTCATTAAAAGTTCCCTCTCTATTTCCCTTAATTTTTATATCATATTCAAGTTAATACATTTCTAGATAGAGCTCAATCAATCAATACATTATCAGTAAAATTTTATTTATACATATCCAAATCCTGTTTTTTAAGTTTTACTTAATTCCAATTACCATGTTCCAATTTAGCCATCCATAACCATAATAATTAAACTTCGGGTAACCCTAATTTCCCTCATTTCATTACCAAATAATTATCGTGTCTAGAATACACATATTATTCCGAAAATTAGATTCTTACTTTATTTCACAAATATATTCTATTTCTCGTCCTGATAGCTCATTTGCTAATAAAATATCTTTCAGTGTCACAAACCCATTTCCGTATTACAATTCAAAACTATAATCTAACAATTAATTTTCGTTTCCATTATAAATCTAGGTCCTAAATATTAAATCAATCAGTATCTCTAAAAATTTCCTTAACCCGCTAAATAGAATTTTAAGCTATTCCATCATCAATCAAGAAGAGAAGGAGAAGAAGAGAAAGAAAAAAAACAAAACAAAAGGAAAGAGTCCCATTTTTAAACCTAACTCTGGCTTTCTTTTTTTGCCAGGCAGGTTTCCATACCAGTGCCTTTAAATCCTCAAATAGGTCTCCCTTCAATCCTAGGCTTCTTATTTCCTATCCCTTCTGGTCACGGGAAGAGAGCAGTGGGTGTCCTGGGAAACAGCTGTCCATACCTTGGGTAGTCTTCTCTATAAAGGGTTCGGAAGGATTGCTTTGGACTGTAGGCGGTACACCTGTCTGCTGTGCCACAGATGTTCCTGGGAGATGCTGCATGGGTGCAGTTGACTGGGTAGCATGTTTGGAAGGAGATTTCTGATTGGGTACTGTAGGTTTGCTGGACGAGTAGAAGGAACTCAGAGTTTGAGGCTTGTGGGTCTGACTTTCCCTGTCCAGCAGCTTATCTAAGATCTACAAAACACGGAACAGGAGAATGCAGAGGTTACTACTGGAACTAAGCAAATGGAAGGGATAATGTGGCATAGTCAAAATTCACCTAAAATCAGAAAGCACTCAGTTCATATGATAGGCATGAGGCTAAATTCTCATGGATGCACATGCAACGAAATGAGTCAGTTTATTGCACAAATTCAGGCAAATTGGCTTACTTAGTTACATTAATGTAACTTATAACATAAGGCAGAGACTTTTTTTGTGTCCTTGAACGCATTCATTTTTCCCCAATTAAGCCTTCCCAAAATCTTTTAGGGCTAAGAACTGTCCTTTCAAACTCCTGCAGGATCAGAAGAAAGAAACGTAAGGCAAAAGTGTATGGAATTAAATTTAAATTTAACCTTACAGCACATTAATTCACTACTGCAAATCTCAATATTTAAAAACATTTGTCTTCTCTCTTGGTAAGAATTCCAATGTAGTTGTCCCCAGAATATGCCCTTGACTTATGAAACAGATTTTTTTTATTATATTGGCGTGCAGTCTATTCTCAAAGGCTCTGGACAGATAACAATTAAGGCCAGCACAAAATGAAAGTCAACTTCCTCAAAAATAATAAACCCCACACATATCATCATCATCATTAGGTCCTGGGTACAGCACATTGGGCAGTGACTGTTTTCCAGACTCCAAGTCTAAGCAATTTTATTTGCCAACAATTGCAAGAATGCTTCATGGTGACCCTTCAGATGTTCTTGGCAACTGACATTCCTTAAAAGGGAAAATGTTGTCCTAAAAAGGGCTGCTGGATAACATTCAGCAAATACAGTAAGAGCAGCAAAGTATGTCCCTTTGGCCGCTCATTGCCAGGGTCCAGTTAGATTCCTGATGAGTTTTCCCCTCCAATAATGCTCGGTTTATCTCCTCTGTTCTTCATTTCCATGAGCTACTCTGGAAGGTAAGGAACTGCAGCAGTTCTCTGAGAGTGAAGAGGCCGCTCCAGTGCAAGTTCCCTTGTTGCTCTCCTGTTCCAATGGATCTTGATCAAACTGCTCACCAGATCTCAGAAACTCCAATACTCTCTGAAAACCCAGTGGATCCATTAAGTGCCTGGCGTAGACTGAGCTAATCACTCCACTTTTTTTTGTTCTCTTTCTTCTTTCCATATTAATGTTGTTGTTAGTTGCGAAGTTGTGTCCAACCCATCGCGATTCCATGGACAATGTTCCTCCAGGCCTTCCTGTCCTCTACCATCTTCTGGAGTCTATTTAAGCTCACGCCTAACTGCTTCAGTGACTCCATCCAGCCACCTCATTCTCTGTCGTCCCCTTCTTCTATTGCCCTCAATCTTTCCCATCCATATTAATAGAGTATTGGAAATAAATTATGGAAAGGAAATACAGACTTTTCCTACCAATAGGATAGCTTTTGGGTGTAATGGGGAAAAAAGTAAAAGGAACATAGGCCAAGCCAATCTGATGGCTGCAAAAGACTGCAAGGTCATTATTTGGCCATAAGTTTAGCAGCAGTTGCTAACTCTTCTGTTCTAAGCACCCTTTTCGTGGTCTCGTGATCAAAGTAGACATTGTATTTCTCACCCTGTGCTTCCCAAAATACACATGCACACAGAAACATACAGGTGCATTACAGGGAAACACACAGGGGCAACACACACAGCATCCACCCTATCTCTCTCCCGTGTACGCATCAAACGGTATTTCAAATCTTGGAAGTCCTGCAAACGTTAGTTGGTTTCCAAGAAAACTCTGAAAAGCTTAGTTATTTAAAAACGAACTAAAGATGTTCCGCTTCTAAACATTTCTAAAAATAACTTACTTTTTTGAGTTTAGACTGATCATCCTTGTAAGTGATCATCAGGGCTAAAGCTAGATCTCCTTTCTCTCTTCGGGTACCTTCACACAGAAGAGGATGCTCTGCTTCGCTCACTGTTGTCTTCATGCCTGCAAAGTAGAATTCAAGAATGTTGTCCTACTTTATGTAAATACTAAAAGAGTCCTACTAGGGCAGACATGTCAAACACAAGGCCCGGGGGGGGCGGATGCGGCCCGCGAAGTGGTTTCATGTGGCCCGCAAAGCCATCCTGGAAACAGTGAGGGAACGGCCCCCACTGCCTTGGTCCTGGCCCAGGCCAGCCGGGAGCCAATGTACAATTTTATGGTGGCCATCTATGCTGAAACGCATTCAGTCTCCCTCTGACTTTGCCCTGGTACCCATCAGGAACAACCTGGCTAAGGAGAGCAAGCACAGCAGCAGCAGCCTTGAGGAGGAGGTAAGTGCAGCTGGGCACCCCTTTGGGGAAGTGGGGCTGGGCTTGGTGCCACGGGTGCTCGAGGGCCAGGCTGGGCATTTGACCTCTGCTGCCCAGGGCTCCGGGCAGCCCGCACCACCATCCAGCCCCCTCCCACATGGCCTGAGAGGAACAGTGAGGCTCCTCCAGTGGACCATGCCTTGGCACTTGCCCTGGTCCCACCCCCTTCTGCCAGAGACCCTCAGATCTGTTCCACTCCTGCCCAGGCCCCCATAGGCACCATTGACGCAAACAATGTAGAGCTGGCCATGCCCACCCAGTAGGCCATACCCACTCCCTCCACACCCACCCAGTAGGCCGCACCCACCCTGGCCACACCCTCCCGGCTCCCCAAGGGCAACTGCAGTGCTGATGCGGCCCTCAATGAAATTGAGTTTGACACCCCTGTACTAGGGCAATCCTACAGTCTTGTCAAAATGGCTACTGACAAAACACAGTATGCTACATATTATTATTATTATGCAAAATATGCCCGAATTACATTCTATTCCTCTTTTCATGATCAAGTGCTACAAATAAATGTTGATACGCAGAATAAATTATCAGTATTGATACAAATATTCTTTATAAATCTTTAGATTTCATTTAAAAAGAGTATCAGCTATGGTGCCCGAGGCTTTTCATTATTTCAGTTCTATTTAAGTGATGCAAGAAGAGAATTCATCTCTGTGTAAATTCAGTGTCATGGTTCCGACAGATGAAACTCTTCAAAGAACTTCGAGGCATTGTTTACCTTAAAGAAACTTTATCCGAGTAGCATAGCATCGGCACGTACATAGGCAAAGCCAAAATCTGAATTCCCCTCCCCTGAGCACATAGTATCAAAGCACAATTCCCTCCTCTAATTAACAGTCATAAATCACATTCTCCGATTAGTTTGAAATGCAGGCTTTCCATCCAGTTCTTCAACCCACCATTTCTTATCATCTCTTATTTCAAAAAACCTTGGTTCTCACCCTAGTTACAATGTTGTTATGTCTAACTAAACTCCCATGCCCATTCCTCCTCCCCCCCCAGTACCATCTAATTCTAACTCTAATTCTAAGAGTAAAACATAAGAAGAAAAACGGCTGCATCTCCATATATTGTCAAAGCAAGAACATCCGATGTTAGCAGCGTTGACCTTCAGATTATTACATGACATGGGCAGGATTTCTTTTCAAATTATAGGAGCAGAGGAAAAAACTAAGCACTCACCAAGTGCTGCCACGGCTGCCTCAAAGCCAAGTTCTTCATCTCCAGGCATTTCATTGTTCCAATTACGGCTTGGGGGTCTTGACCCTGTAGGAGAAACCACTAGGACAGGAACAGAGATATTAATTAGCTCTATGGGGAATGAACATTGCCTGGACTGGTAAAGAAAACTAGTGCAAATATTGTATTTTAACAACTGTACAATATCGCTACCGTTAAACCAACATGATCAAATTTTCTTGCAAGGTCAGTACAAAAGTCAGACCTCAGTACCATGTTGAGACATTTTATCCTCCCGAGGACATTTTTTTTTTTGGTACAACTCTAGTTGTCATTTAACACATGGCACAGCTGGTAATTCAGAATGAAAAGAGGATTGCAGTCGCCACAAGGAATTGTGCACTGTTTTGGCTTCCTCAGAGCTGTAAAATAGGGTCTTAGTTTTGGTGCTTTATCTGAAAAAAAATCTGTAGTAGAAATTCAGCAAGTAGTCACCGAAAAACTGACCATCTGCTTTAAGAAGCTGGGCATAACACCTATAAATTAAACAATCTTGTCTCCCCTGGTGCCCACTAAATACTTTGACTCCCATCAGTTCCAGGCCAGCAACAGGGATACATTACTTTGTATCCCAAAGTTTCTGGAGAGTAATTTATAGGAGAGCTGTCAATTGATAACATTAGGACATACTGGTAGTTAATGAAGTTTTAAAGACTGATTGACAATCCTGTATTTAGATAGGCTAATTGCATACTTCCAAGCTTTGTGATTAAGGCTAAGTTCAGGACCACCACAGCTCCTTCACATGTGAGCATTTGGTCTAAACCAAGTGTAGCAGGTATATTTTTTTAACCTTACAGAAAACACGAAGTTCTCATGGACACAAGAACCAACTCACATAAATGAGTGGACTGTGGAAATTGCACTGAAAGTGTTGAGGGACAAGCAAACCATCATTGTTACTCCTTTCCTCAAGGGGCTTTCTCTTGGGTAAACATGCAGGGGTTTTACCTGGAGCACATAAGACATCAAATATGAAGCTAGCAAGCATGAGAGGCAGGACAGGGCGGTAATCGCACAGGGTTCCTTCCCTCAGCTCTTCGGCTCTCCCCCGAATAGTATTCATCTCACTAGAGCCAAGTGGGATCTTCTTCAACAAGGCCACGATCTCAGACTCCTGGTAAGCCAGCTTGACCTGTGTGATATGGATCAGGGAGAAATATGCACAAGGCTTTTATTTTAACAAATGCATTATTATACACAAAGACTGGATAATAACATTAAGAAAGAATGCTTTTAATGATGCGCAAGAATCCTTGCCTCAGGCTGAGAGGGCTGTTTTTTAATCCAGTAATGGCTGCCAAGAAATTCCCTAACTTTGGGGACTAAACTCAATCCATGATCCTCTGCAGAGCCATATACAAGTCTACGTAAGTCTGTGAAGAATATGCAGCTGGAACTGCACATTTTGTAAACTAAACAAAATAACCAGCTAACAGATTGTACCAAAACCAATACAGGTAGTCCTTGATTTATGATTTAGCGACTGTTTGACAGCACTATAAAAAGTAACTTACGACTGGTCCTCACACTTATGACCATCACAATGTCCCTGGGATCATGTAATTGCAATCTGGGTACTTGGCCACTGGCTTGCACTTATGACAACTGCAGTATCTTGCAGTTATGTGATTGCCATTTGCTGACCAGCAAAGTCAATGGAGAAGGCAGAAGAGAAGGTCATGGGTCACGGTCATGTGATGTCTGACTTAATGACCACACTCCTCAACAACAAATTTTCCAGTCCCAATTGTGGCCATAAGTTAAGGACTACCTATATTGTATCACTGTGCACGGTAGAAAAAAGTCACCCTGTTGTAACATTACTCTTACAAAAACTGCATACTAGTTTTTTTAACACAAAAAAGCAGAGACCTCACCCTGCCAACAAAAGTACGTATAGTCAAGGCCAGGGTCTTCCCAGTTGCAATGTATGGCTGTGAAAGTTGGACCGTAAGAAAGGCTGAGCGCCAAAGAATTGAGGCCTTTGAACTATGATGCTGGAGAAGACTCCTGCGAGTCCCCTGGACTGCAAGGCGATCAAACCGGTCAGTCCTAGAGGAGATCAACCCTGACTGCTCTTTAGAAGACTAGATCCTGAAGTTGAAACTCAAGTACTTTGGCCACCTAATGAGAAGGAAGGACTCACTGGAGAAGAGCCTAATGCTGGGAAAGATGGAGGGCAATAGAAGAAGGGNTGGTTATTCCAGCTTGCAGGACTGGCCTAGGGTAATTTTTAGAGGGGTTTTAATTATATTTTAATTGGACAATGTTCAAATATTTCTTTTAATTAATTTTAAATTTGTAATTGTTATTTATGTATTTTAATTGATTGTCAGCCGCCCTGAGTCCGCGAGGAGAAGGGCGGGATATAAATCCAAATATAATAATAATAAAATAAAAAAAAAGTTATAACTGTCAGGAAGTTTCTCCTTAGTTCTAGGTTGCTTCTCTCCTTGATTAGTTTCCATCCGTTGCTTCTTGTCCTGCCCTCAGGCACCTTGGAAAATAGCTTGACTCCCTCTTCTTTGTGGCAGCCCCTGAGATATTGGAAGACTGCTATCACGTCCCCCCTCGTCCTTCTCTTCATTAAACTAGACATACCCAATTCCAGCAACTGTTCCTTATATGTTTCAGCCTCCAGTCCCCTAATCATCTTTGTTGCTCTTCTCTGTACTCTTTCTAGAGTCTCAACAACTTTTTTACATCATGGTGCCCAAAACTGGATGCAGTATTCCAAGTGTGGCCTTACCAAGGCATTGTATTAGCCTATTAGCCTATTTAGATAGGCTAATTGCATACTTCCAAGCTTTGTGATTAAGGCTAAGTTCAGGACCTCCACAGCTCCTTCACATGTGAGCATCTAAACCAAGTGTAGCAGGTATATTTTTTTAACCTTACAGAAAACACGAAGTTCTCATGGACACAAGAACCAACCCACATAAATGAGTGGACTATGGAAATTGCACTGAAAGTGTTGAGGGACAAGCAAACCATCATTGTTACTCCTTTCCTCAAGGGGCTTTCTCTTGAGTAAACATGCAGGGGTTTTACCTGGAGCACATAAGACATCAAATATGAAGCTAGCGAGCATGAGAGGCAGGACAGGGCGATAATCGCACAGGGTTCCTTCCCTCAGCTCTTCGGCTCTCCCCCGAATAGTATTCATCTCGCTAGAGCCAAGTGGGATCTTCTTCAACAAGGCCACGATCTCAGACTCCTGGTAAGCCAGCTTGACCTGTGTGATATGGATCAGGGAGAAATATGCACAAGGCTTTTATTTTAACAAATGCATTATTATACACAAAGACTGGATAATAACATTAAGAAAAAATGCTTTTAGTGATGCGCAAGAATCCTTGCCTCAGGCTGAGAGGGCTGTTTTTTAATCCAGTAATGGCTGCCAAGAAATTCCCTAACTTTGGAGACTAAACTCAATCCATGATCCTCTGCAGAGCCATATACAAGTCTACGTAAGTCTGTGAAGAATATGCAGCTGGAACTGCACGTTTTGGAAACTAAACAAAATAACCAGCTAACAGATTGTACCAAAACCAATACAGGTAGTCCTTGATTTATGATTTAGCGACTGTTTGACGGCAGTATAAAAAGTAACTTACGACTGGTCCTCACACTTATGACCATCACAATGTCCCTGGGATCATGTAATTGCAATCTGGGTACTTGGCCACTGGCTTGCACTTATGACAACTGCAGTATCTTGCAGTTACGTGATTGCCATTTGCTGACAAGCAAAGTCAATGGGGAAGGCAGAAGAGAAGGTCATGGGTCACGGTCATGTGATGTGTCACTTAATGAGACATCCTCAACAACAATTTTTCCAGTCCCAATTGTGGTCATAAGTTAAACACTACCTATACTGTTATCACTGTGCACTGTAGAAAAAAGTCACCCTGTTGTAACACTGCTCTTACAAAAACTGCATACTAGTTTTTTTAACACAAAAAAGCAGAGACGTCACCATGCCAACAAAGTGTGGTTTTCCCAGTTGCAATGTATGGCTGTGAAAGTTGGACCGTAAGAAAGGCTGAGCGCCAAAGAATTGAGGCCTTTGAACTATGGTGCTGGAGAAGACTCCTGTGAGTCCCCTGGACTGCAAGGCGATCAAACCGGTCGGTTCTAGAGGAGATCAACCCTCACTGCTCTTTAGAAGGCCAGATCCTGAAGTTGAAACTCAAGTACTTTGGCCACCTAATGAGAAGGAAGGACTCACTGGAGAAGAGCCTAATGCTGGGAAAGATGGAGGGCAATAGAAGAAGAGGACGACAGAGAATGAGGTGGCTGGATGGAGTCACTGAAGCAGTAGGCGTGAGCTTCAATGGACTCCAGAAGATGGTAGAGGACAGGAAGGCCTGGAGGAATGTTGTCCATGGGGTCGCAATGGGTCGGACACGACTTCGCAACTAACAAAAACAAAAAATTCTATTCTATTCTATTCTATTCTATTCTATTCTATTCTATTCTATTCTATTCTATTCTATTCTATTCTATTGGGAAAGATTGAGGGCAAGAGAAGAAGGGGACGACAGAGAATGAGGTGGCTGGATGGAGTCCCTGAAGCAGTAGGCTTGAGCTTAAATGGACTCCAGAAGATGGTAGAGGACAGGAAGGCCTGGAGGAACGTTGTCCATGGGGTCGCGATGGGTCGGACACGACTTCGCAACTAACAACAACAACAAGTTTTTTAACTAGAGTTTAGGGGAGAAATTCTTTAACAAGTTGAACCTAGATAGAACCTCGGTCAGTTTCATTAATGATATAACATTTCATTATCTTCAGGATTTTCTAGGTACGCAATCTCCCCCACCCCACCCCCCCGAAGCCATCCTATACATACCTCCAGGGCCTTGGTAGATGCTGGCGGCCTCTGTAACTCCAGAGCAAACATGCCAATCTGGAAAGCTAGATTGTGATATTCTTGCCGCTCACTCAGTACAGTCAGTAGAAAAGCAGCTTTGGATAAAGTGTTGGTTGCTATCCAAGTCTGTTTGCTGGTAGATACTTTATTCTTCTTTCCCTGTGGGATGGAGAATTAGAAGGCTGAATGTGAATTTCCCTGCACTTTGATTCTATAAAAAAAAAACAATTTAAAAATGGTAAGCATGCCTGGGAATTGATTTAATTGATGTGCCCTCATAGATGTACAAAAATGTGTGTGTGGAGGGGGTTTTAACTACACTTCTTGCCAGTCTTTTTCCTTAATATATGCCTAGTCGTAGCAGCAATCTACACTTGGCTGAGCAGGATTAAGCACAGATCTGAATGGGAGATGATCAGGATATCCCAGACTACAGACAACAGCAGGAAACTGGAAGAACATTTAACAAGAAAAGCAATTGACTTTTCCAGGTTGTTTAGCTTGACTTTAAGGGAATCTTTACCCTTTTACACACCTTTAATATGCATATTTGATGTGCATATTTATAACCAGAGAAGTGCATTTCAAAATGCAAACAAATCCGATTTTTCTAGTCTTAGCTGAAATTCTACTGATTTCAGTTAGTTGTACCCCATCAGGGCAAATTCAGTCTAGACCCATCCCAAGAAGATGACTTAAGGAAAAATCCACACATAAAATAAAATGGGCCAAGAGAAAAACTTTATGAAGTACAACAAAGAATGCTATATGATTTTAACCGCCATTTGAGGCAGTAGCACTTGTTTTTATTTGCACGATGTCATAAACCTTTTGAAAGTAAAATTTAACTCAGCTTCAGCATCATTAAAGAAATATTGGGTTTTTTTATAAAGTGACTTTGTAGACAAAGCTTAAAGGAAAATATCCTCTAAAATTTGCGGTCCATTTTAGCAGCAACTCTTGATTTATACTTCCCCAATGTTTTACCTTCACACCCCTCATATGTTTTAACAAATGAATGTTTTAGGAATAAAAAGATATGAGAAGAATCAAATATACCCGTCTGTCTTTGGAATAAGGATAGGACCGTGGTGGTGAACCTATGGCACGCGTGCCACAGGTGACATGCAGAGCCTTCTCTGTGGGCACACGCACCGTCGCCCCAGTCCTAGGCCTTCAGCTGGGTTTTATAAAACCTTTTCACTTTAGGCCTCCGCCGCCGTGTGCCAAAAAAAAACAAAACACGGTTCAATCAATCAATCAATTTTAACTTCTCGCAGGGAAAAAAAAAAGACCTCGCAAAGTTGGAATTGATTGATTGAACTTTTTAGTCCCACCCAGTCTGCCGTTACCACCGAAACCACGCCCACCCAATGGGCCACACCCACCCGGCACCCGACGATACGTAAGTGGGTTTTGGGTTGCAGTTTGGGCACTCGGTCTCTAAAAGGTTCGCCATCACTGGAATAGGACATGAGTGTGTTTTAATGAATAAATAAGCAATGGGAGATTTCTTTTTTTCTACAAGGTGACAAAAAGGTGCTCCTCAGAACCGCAGCTCAACAGTTTAATGTGGAGTGGCGTAACTTTGTAATATGGAGTAATTATGCCTCACTCATCATTCTTCATAGTTTGCATTACTTGCGGTCATATATTCAGTATTCATTATTTTCTAATGAACTTTTTCAGAATCTGTTTGGTGTTGTGGTTAAAGCATTCAGGCTACAAACCAGGACATTTGTGAGCTCAGGTCCCACCTTGGGCACGGAGCCAGTTCGGGTGACCCGGGGCAAGTCCTTCTCTCAGCCCTTGGGGGAAGAGGCCAGGGCAAATTTGTTAAGGGAGTTTCCAAAAATTGGAGACAATCGAACAGAAGAAGAAAAAAAAACCCTTTATGGCAAAATGAAGGGGGGAGGTGCTCCTATTTATATCAAAAAGCATTTTCACTGATTCGGATGTTTTGTTTTAAGGTTCAATCACACCTTGCCCTAGAATTCTAAAGCTCCTTCCGTGTTTCAGTACCTTTATCATCCAAAATCATATAATCGTCACCATCCCACCTTTGTTCATTTTTAATTCCCACACACAATTCTTGAGGGGGTCCAGTTGTTTCCTCCTTTCCCTTGCCACAGCCGCTCTTACTCCCAACTCTTTGTTTCTTTCAAGCCTGTTATCCCACACTGAATAACATTATTCTGTAATGGTTGGCAAAAATAAAAATAAAAAATAGCCAAAGCTCTTCAGAAGATGCATCCTTTCCCCACATCAGCCTTTGCATAGAACAGGGGTAGGCAACCTTGGCTCTTTTATGACGCGTGGACTTCAACTCCCAGAATTCCTGAGCCAGTATGGCTCAGCTTGGAAACCTCTCCCTTTCCCCTCAGCATGGCTGGCTCAGGAATTCTGGCATCTGCCCGGCTCTTCCTGGCTGCTTATGAATGGTACAAACCAATCTTTCCGCCATTCTTCCCCTCCTGACATGTTAAGAGTCATAGTAGAGACACTATCTGAACTAGGGGGTTCCTCCTGCTTCATCTCCCTGCCCCCCCCCCATGACCGGCCCTATTACCATACACAGGATGCTGTTCTGGCTGATGTAGGATAGACCCCTTGCTTCAATCAGCATGATCTCCACCCCCAGATGGCATGTCAGCAGATAGCATAGGTCAAGGGTAGGCAACCTTGGCTCTTTTATGACTCGTGGACTTCAACTCCCAGAATTCCTGAGCCAGCAGGACTCAGCTTGGAAACCTCTCCCTTTCCCCTCAGCATGGCTGGCTCAGGAATTCTGGGAGTTGAAGTCCACGAGTCATAAAAGAGCCAAGGTTGCCTACCCCTGGTATAGAACATAGAATCATAGGGCTGAAAGGGACCTGAGAGGTCTTCTAGTCCAATGCACACACATACACACACACACACACACACACACACCGACCATTATAGTCAGTAGAGGTTGTTCTGCAGCTGTCCTGATGTCCCCCCCCCCACCATCAGAGTGGAGAGATTGGACAGAAAGGATTACAACAGAGGAAGAAGACGTACAAAGGGGAACACACGTCAAGAGGAATGGAGTCAATTATCTCAAAATATCACAACGTAATTATCAACTGATGCTTCAAAGTGAAGATTTATAGTTATTGCCGCATTAACATCATCCACGGCAACCCACACACATCTGAATCTCCTACTAACGACTGTCCAACCCTGGTCTTTCCATTTAAACTATGTTTCCCACCAGCATTATACCTTGGTTGGGGGTTGCTCCACTTTGAGATCAGGAGGATTAGCCAGCAAGTCTTTTGCAAGTTCGACAGTGAGACGACACGCTTCGCTGCTATAGCCGTGTGCGTGAAGAGCCTCTGCGCAGGCAAACAGGACCTGTAAATTGAGAATTGCAGCAAAAAAAACACAGTCTAATTCTTGCTTCCTTTTCTCTCAGTTCTTAATCTTGTGGGCCTAGGAATTTCACTGCTGAAACTCATGGCATCTCTTCTTGCCATTTCCCAATGAGAAACAGGTTACAACTACATTGCTTGTTAAGTCCTCCAATAAGCATATCACAATTAAAAAAATAAGTCAACTTTCTCCAAATCCCCTTGTGAGAAAGGCCCAACATTCCTTGCACTCCGTTACCAAACCCCTACCTGCACCACATTTGGAGTGCGCAACTCTTCAGGTCCAACACAGGAAAGGTATTTAATGGCTACCGTGTGAGGCAAGAAACAAACTGAGATAAACACAGGATGCTGCCTTATATGATCCCCATGCTCGATGCTTCGTAGTCTGACTGATAGCTTAAAATCTCAAACAGAAGTTCAGTGGTGTAAGATCCATTTGGAAATGCAGATGCAATTCAGAACTTCTGCATTAAACTTGCATTCTACCACCAGATTTTGCACCTTTCGTGTAACATTAATCCTACAGTCTTGTCAAAACGGCTACCGGCAAAACACCGTATGCTACATATTATTATGATGATGCAAAATATGCCTGAATTACGTTCTATTCCTTTTTTCATGATCAAGTGCTACAGATAAATATTGATACGCGGAATAAATGATCCGTATTGATACAAATATTCTTTATAAAGTTATCTTAATTTAATCGTCCTTCGCTGCTACATAATACATGTTTTTTTCATTCTTCCCAGTAAGGAACATATACTAGAGGAGCCTAAAATAAAGGGGGCGGATGAGTCAGGAGCTTACAGGCCTACCTCCATTCGGTTTTCTTGCTCCAAGGGTTTTATTCCAGCAAACATGTCTTGCTCTTCTTCAGTCCCACCCTCTGCTTTCTCATCTTCTTCCTTAGCCACCTCCTGGGCGTTTAAATAATATACTTGATAGTCATCTTCTTCCTCTTCTCCTCCAGCAGCGCCGTTTTCCTCCACCTCTTTTGGCTTGGGACATACCCCGGCACTACTTTCATCCGGGCCGTGGAGATCATCATCTCCACTGCCCACTTCCTCCGCGGGTTCCTTGGAAAGCTTCTTGGTGGAAGGACTGCTTCTGTGGGCAGGCTCGGTTGCCTCAGAGAAATACACCCCACCTTCATCCTCAAAAGTATCTCTGTAGCTTCTGCTCAGCGGGCTGTCTGTGAAGCTGAAGGTGTTGCTTGCCTCTGCTCCAAGAGCCAAGCTACTGTCATCTAAAGTCAACTCGGCCAAGTCCGGCTCCAAAGAACTGTCCTCGCTGCTCATACGACGCTTCCCGCCATGTTTGCTGGCTAGGTTCTTTCCCACCGGAAGCTTGCCCTTGTTCACGGTTGTTTTATATGAAGCTTTGTCCCCTTCCGCTGAAAGTCTTCTCAGAACCCGCTGGGGGCCTTCGGACACCACTTTCCGTTTCCCAATAAGTTCTTTGGGGCGCACGGCTGGCTCCTGAGATGCCAGGCGTGACCGGTCTCCCAGCTGCAAACACGTCCCCATGGCATCTGTTCCGTGGCTTCTCCCTGCCTCGGAAAAATTTTCTATACACGGCGGCCTGCAGTTCCTCTGCTGGATGGCCTTGACCCAACAAAAGGAGTTCTTTTTGTCAGCACTGCTGTAGGTGATGCCTGGGATAGGATATGCCTCCTCCCAATTGAAATAGCAAGCTTCCACAGCTGGCTTGAATCCATGGAATAGCTTCTCAAGAGACTTCTTATGCTGCCCTCTTTTGACATTGTCTATTACCTTCAACTGCCACTGCCTTAGCTGTGTGCACAAGTCCCTTCGCCTAGCATTATGGAAGGAAAGAAACAAGTAAGAGGCAAAAGTGACCTATTAAAAGCAGAAAGTCAAAATTTACTGTTTGCACATTTAATTTCTTGTTGATCTAGTACACTTACGTTTTTCCTTCATCGGCATACGGTTCATGTCTTATCAGAACTCTAATATTCTAATACACTTAATACTTTGTTTCATTTTTATGTCACAGAAAAAAGCCTCAGATAATCAAAGCTCCTATGAAAATCCCTAAAACTCATCCTAGCGGCAGTTTAATTAACTGCCTATACAGTCTATTGTGTTTGGCAAAGAAATTCGAAGGAAATATTCTCAGGTCCCACTGAATATGCTCCATGTTTGATGTCTCCCCACAATTTTTCACCAAATTGAAAAGTGAGGATTGTTCAAGTCATTCCAAAACACTATCTTTTTTCCCCTAAAAATTCTTCATGCTCTATTTTGGAAGTACTTTTCAGATTGTTGTCATCCTTGCACTGTCCCCAGATATAAACATTATTGAAAATCTGTGGGGGAACAGATTTCGCTGTGTGGTGCAATGCATCCTGGGAAAAGTAGGAATATTTCACAGAAGGATTGTGCAAGGACAAGTGGGGGGAAAATCCACAAGCAAGACCTTAGCTGTCTAAAAGAAACATTTGAAGCTGAGGAGTTACAAAATAATGACTGGAATGCTGTCCAAATTTTTGCATCTGCCATATTCACTATTTTCTTAACTTGAATTTGTAAATAACTGCACATAAACAATAAGCATGCATTCAAATTTCAACAAAAAAATTCATGCTTAATGCTTTACTATACCGAAATTGTAATAGCTGCTGCTTACTTAAGAATTCATTGAAACATACAATTTGAACATGACGTCTACATTTTTGTACATCACTGTGTATCCTTTTGACAAAAGATGCAGATAATACATGTGGTCTGATGATGCGCTAGCATTAATGACGTTATCTAGTTTGGGTTATGAAATATCTGCAAGAAAACAACCAAGTTCAGAGAGATCCAAGGAACCCATTCATACATGTGGTCGTTTCTATTAAAAAGATAACAGGACTGTGAACAGTGACCGTATCCAGACTCTGCTAATCTGTTAGTTGTAAGTTACAGGCCTTCAAAACCGAGATGGTGTTTTTAATTAAAATTTTAAAATACTTGAGAGCAAATACAGTACTACTCATTATATCTACGTATTTGAAGGACGAATAGTTAGAACACGAATTCAAGAACGGGCAGGCACGAAGGTTTTGAGAATATTTCAACATTATGTAATACCTGTCCATGTCTGGAGTAAGATCAGTCAAGCAAAGAAGCTGGATATGAACATTACAATAAAAATAATAGGCAAGTATATCCATTAATAGACTTTTGTCAATGTCAACTTTGTTATGGACTTTCAGACGTTACACCTACCGATGAGGGCTAATAGTTGGATCCAAGACAGCAAGTCTCCAAAGAACCACCATCTCGTCACACATACTTGCACAAGCGTGAGCAGCAACTTCTGACTGGCCATTGCTCCGGCCAGTATGTCCACTTGCACTACTATGGGATGCTGATGTCCTTACACTGTACCACCAGCCAGTTATCTGTAGACAAATGACGCAGAGTATCAGATGCTCAAACTTACTTATTTTTTCTTAATCCAGTGGATTGCACATGATTCTTCAACTCATTCTAACTATGTCAGAAACATGTGTGAGAATTATAAATCACAAAACTGGAAGTCTCTTCTAATCCAAACACCTGCTCACGGTAGGAATTCTCAGGTCATGCCAGACAAATGGATATCCAGGTAATGTTTGGAAATCTCATACAGTGGAATATCCATACTCTTAACTATCAAAATAAAAAAAAAATTCTTCCTGTTCAGCTTCCATCCATCAATTTTTATTCTACCTTCAAATGTTATGGAGAATAAATCCATACCCTCTTCCCATGATAGTCCATCAAATGTTAGAAGACAATCTCAACTTTAGGTTAAAAGTTATTTTACCATTTATTTTAGGGTTTAGCTCTTAACCCCCGCACAATTTTCCTCCGTCTTCTCTGCATTCTTTCCCGTTCCTTAGTGTCCTTCAAATACTGAAAGAACCAGAACTGGACACAACATTCTAAGTGCAATCTCACTAGTGCAGGGGTAGGCAAGCTTGGCTCTTTTATGACTCGTGGACTTCAACTCCCAGAATTCCTGAGCCAGCCATGCTGAGGGGAAAGGGAGAGGTTTCCAAGCTGAGCCATGCTGGCTCAGGAATTCTGGGAGTTGAAGTCCACGAGTCATAAAAGAGCCAAGCTTGCCTACCCCTGGACTAGTGCAACACAGAGCAATATTATCACTTTTTATGATCTCATTGCTATACTGCTGTTGATGCAACCCAAGTGGATCGAATTGAATTTTTTCACTCTCTCTTGTGAGATTAGAAATCAGTGCTTTGCTTGATTTCCTGCTTTGTATGGCCAAAAAACAGCACCATCACAGAAAAAACATAGGCTGAAAATATATGCAATAGAGCAGGCATGTCAAACTGCTGGCCCGCAGGACGAATGCGTCATGCCGAAACCGCACCCACCCCATTGCCGGCAATGGGGGAAAAGTCCCGATACATCGCGCGACTTCACGTGATGTTGCAAGTTTGACATGCCTGCAATAGACCCTTATAGAGATAGTATTTCAATTACTGCCTCTTTTTTGGCTAATCACATTTAAAAAATAAACATGGCTAAATTCTAGAAATGGAAATTGAGGGTGTGGAGGACTACAACAGCCTGTGGAATAGCCACCTCTGTCCTAACACTATATTACTGTACTGTTAGGCATTTGTCTAACTCTTCACGTTCCTTAAAAATTTCTAGATAAGCAACATGAGCATTCCATCCCACACACGTTTCTGTGAGAATTTGTTTAGCAAAGGAAATAATACCTGTTCATATGTTAAACATTGGTCTGTCAGGATCTCCAGAAGAGGAGCTGCGTTGGTATCCCGTCTCTTAAACATCTCGCGAACAATTGAAAGCAGGTTCCATATGCCTTCAGGTTCTCTCCCTCTTAGGGGGCGTAACAGACAGGCCCACTCAGCAGCAGCTGGGGGTTCCGTGGAGGACAGGTACATGGAATTCACATCACTGTGTAGTTGGAAAAATCGAGCGGGGGGAGGAGATGGGAGAACTTCAAACTGATGCTTGAACATAGGATAATTATTTATGAAACTATGAATGTAGGGGACTTCTTTATAGATTTTATCTTATTGATCCATCTGTCCAATCAGGAAGAGTCTAACACTATTTAGTAATACCAAAAAAAAAAAAAGGACATATAGTCAAGGCCATGGTTTTCCCAGTTGCAATGTATGGATGTGAAAGTTGGATCATAAGATAGGCTGAGCGACAAAGAATTGAGGCCTTTGAACTATGGCAGTGATGGCGAACCTTTTAGAGACCGAGTGCCCCAAAACTGGCCCCACCCCCACTCCGCCCCCACCCCACCTGCCCGCAGGACTTCCAGGGCTCGCCACAGATCACCCAGCAGCGCCATGGCAGCCACGCCTTCTGCCCACGCCCCGCAGCATCAACTGTGCGCGATGGTGCGTGAGGGCAGAGTCTTGTCTACGCTGCCTGGCTGTCATGTCCTTGACTGCACTGCTCCGCGTGGGCCATGCTCAGGGGTGACCCTTCTCCAGGAGGGCTGCTGGTAAGGAGGCTGTCATGGGGGGAGGCAAGGCTGGGGCAATGGCACGTGTGCCCACAGAGAGGGCTCCGAGTGCCGCCTCTGGCACCCGTGCCATAGGTTCGCCACCACTGAACTATGGTGCTGGAGAAGACTCCTGCGAGTCCCCTGGACTGCAAGGCATTCAAACCGGTCAGTCCTAGAGGAGATCAATCCTGACTGCTCTTTAGAAGGCCAGATCCTGAAGTTGAAACTCAAGTACTTTGGCCACCTAATGAGAAGGAAGGACTCACTGGAGAACAGCCTGATGCTGGGAAAGATGGAGGGCAATAGAAGAAGGGGACGACAGAGAATGAGGTGGGTGGATGGATGGAGTCACTGAAGCAGTAGGCCTGAGCTTCAATGGACTCCAGAAGATGGCAGAGGACAGGAAGGCCTGGAGGAACGTTGTCCATGGGGTCGCGATGGGTCGGACACGACTTCGCAATTAATAACAAAAAAGGAAAAAAGGTTTAGTAATACCAAACAAGGACCAAAGACAACTCCCTCCCACCAAATCTTTTTGTGTCACTTCAGTCTTCTTCTTCAAAGGTTGTTTGATGTAGGCATTTTATCAAAATTAAAAAATTTTGATTTTAAAATTAGTTTCCCTTTGGGCTGCATAAAGAACATCAATGTTGTAAAATAATGTGGATGAGATTTAAGAAAAATATGTTATATTCTCAACACATTTTCTGCTTTGCTCATAGCACATATTGCAGCATCAAAATACTATATAAGATCTATGTCCAGGATTCAATTTGAAAACATGCACACGGACAGAACTGACTGTCATCCACATACTATTCATACCAAATCTTAAAATTTCAAACAAACTCCTCCAACATTTAACTATAAAATAGGCCAATGATGAGATTTAGCAGCTATCTTTCCAGGACCACCTTCTAAAACTGGTTTCAAGAACTCTGTCTATATTCCTTATGCTGTTAAAAGCAGAATAACAGTTCATTTAACTGGACAAGTACTAAAGGCACATTAGTACTTATTAGTGGCAAATAACACAGAATAGAAGTCTCTAAAAATGCCTCGAAAATTGGTCACAGCAAATCACCGAGCAATTCACTCACTCTCCTGTGAGCCAAAACAAAGAGCAACATTTATTATTGGTAACAGCTACATTGAACAACTTTGAATGAATCCAATGTAGTGCAATTTTTTTCCCATTTAAAATAGGAAAGCTGATGGATTTCTTGGACTAGATCTGTTATACATATTAGAAAACTTTAAATAGCACAATGGCTGTTTTGGAAACCATAGGGCTGGCCCCTGAATCTCTCTCTCTCTCTTTTTTTTTTTTTTTAAAGGAGAAATCTTCGTCTTTGGGGAGCAGGTAGGAATTGCAGCCTCAGTGGCAGGAGTTCCTTTAGGATCAATCTATCTATATCTATATCTATATCTATAAATAAAAATGTAAATGTTCGTTTGTTCAAAATCTTAAATCTCCAAAAGTTCTTCACCGATTGCTTTGAAATTTTGACACAACGTTGCGTTCGAATACGCGCGTGTTTTTATATACCTACTATTATATAGATATCACACCTGTGACAGATAAAAACATGCTTTTTTTGAAAAACAGAGCCATCTGTTGGATGTAAAAGCAACACACGCTAACCAGACTGAGCCACAGCAATGCGTGGCCGGGTACAGCTAGTATGAAATAAGAATTTTCTAATATTCCAGCAAGACAGGGGATTCCTTTGTTTTTTATGACTCACATTAGCCTGGTGTCATGATCTTCAAACTGGACCACTGAATAGAGAGAATGATTCAGAGGCTGGAGGGACCCCAATTTAGCGTCCTAGCGTCCCCTTCTCAGAAACAAAAGACACAATATATCTTCTCAATGGCTAGGTAGTCTTGTCCCAAATAGTGCTTAATGCAAAAGCCAAGCATTTTTTAGATTGCATGTGGCTACATTATAGCTACCTTGTACAAACTTGCTATAGAGCAATACCCAAAGGGTGTTTTCATACAAGCTTATGTGTTTTTGCTGCTAAGCATTTATCCTTCAACTTAAGTTCCTTTTTTGGCTGCTATCTCCTTGGGATTTCTAGCTTCTACATTCTTCCTCTTCAGCCTGATGCTTTGCATAATGGTTTGTTCACCGCGGAGCTGCACCCTCAGCTGGATGCAGGGTCCACTAGCACAGGGTTTTTCAACCAGTGGTACAGGTAGCGCCTGTGGTACATTGGCACCTGGCAGGTGGTATGTGACTAATCCTAGAAAAGTGGTAGTGGGGGAGGGGAATGAGCTGAACCGGTGGCAGCACCGCACAAGCCCGAGCGAGAGATGGCTGGAGCTGCAGGGCTGTCAGGGCTCAGCGGAAGCGCCAGGATCAGCGCCAGGCTCCAGCTGGAGCTCGGTGCTGATCCTGGCACTTCTGCTTAGTCCAGAAGAAGCGCCGATCAGCTGGAATGTTGCAGCATCTCCAGGGTCTTGTGATTTACATTCAGATGCTTGGCAACTGATTTATATTTATGACGGTCACAGTGTCTCAGGGTCATGTGAAGTGACCAAAACCTGCTGCAACCACCCAGCAGATGGGGGGGACCAAACACCCCCACCCTGCCCCCGCTGCCAATCCTCAACAGAAATGCTCACAACAATGAAAACCTCGGACAGGAGGAAGAGCACCGCCGGGTGGGCAGGCAGGTGTCTTGCTCGGCTGTGTCTTGGGGGGCACTTTTTTCAGTGCCATTGTAACTTCGAACAGTCACTAAGCGAACTGTTGTAAGTCGAGGACTACCTGTACTTTATCACTTTTTTCCTTTTCTTTTTTTTTTTGGTCATCAAGTTTTTGACACCTTGCTAGGCGACTGGTGGTACTCAGATGTTGCCATATCCTAAAAGTGGTACAATGGGTGAAAAGGTTGAAAAGCCCTGCACTAGCAGGAGAAACAAGATGGCGAAGGTCGGCTGTGGGAAACTGTAGTGGCAGGCCATACATCTAGAAGCTGCAGTAGAAATATGTGGCCAGGTGCGGGGCTCCCAAAAGGGCAGAGATTTGGGGGGGGGGGTTATGCAGGTGGAGAAGTTGAAGCGTTCCTGTAGTCATAAATGTGGATGGCCCCAAATTTTGATCATGTGATTGCGGGGATGCTGCAGTGCTGTAACTTCAGAGACCAGTCATTAAGTTTACATTTTCATCACCATAACTTCAAATGGTTGCTGAATGTTACATTTCAAGGACTATTTGTACACAACTTATGATTCACACGTTGAAATACAGCTGATCAAATATATATAGCTCTCCACCTACAGTGCAAAAAAAAATTATCTTTTGCTGTCTTTCTAAAGCTACAAAAAGAAATAGAGTGTAGACAGGCAAAATGCCGATGTTTGCATCTGACTTTGCAAATCTGCACAAATGGTAAAGGAAGTAGAAAATTTAAGTTACCTAAATACAACAGGAGAGGGACCGCAAAATTTGTGAAGAGTTTTCTTTATGTTATCACTTAATGTAGATTCATCCAAGTACCAGGTGCTTTGATCAGAGGCAGATGGACCAGCAGTAGGATCTTAGGAAAAAGCAGAGACATTCTTTCAGTTGTTCCAAAGAGTTTGTTTCTCTCTCTATTCAAGGTTGCAGGTAAAACAAGTAGTGATCCTTAATTTTACTACAGAAACGTTGACACAAATATATATTTGAAACTCGATACAACATGCCTTCCCGCTACTTAACAGAGGAAAAGTTTCATATGAACAACTCAAGAGAACGATGATCAATGTATTTAAACTGTTACACCTTTATGCTTTTTAATTATAGGCAGACTAAAGTGCTACCATTTTAGAAACTAAGTTTATTTGCATATTTGAAAACCATTGTTTGGATTATACTTTAAAAAAAACCAATCAAACCCATAACATTATTTATTACCTGGGGCTCCACATACAGTGTTGATGGCAGTGGACTGAGAGGATAGCAGCTCATCAAGTAGACGCTGAGCCGTTGGAAGTATCTAAGAGTAAGAAAAACATGTGATGCTGATTTTAAATGTTTTTTTCCAGAAATAAAGAACTCAACATCTGGTTTTGATTAAAATTACCATGGTTATTAGTCTTTAAAACAATTATATATACTCTTATTTAACCTTAGCATTAATTCTGGTTCAATTACATAATTTGAACATTTCTCATTTTAGGAACTGCAGTGAAACTTTGCTCAGAATGTAAGCCAATTGTAAGAATGGAAGAATATTGCAGAATACCAGCAGTCTTTAACTTACAGCTGTTAAGTTTAATGACAACTCAAAATTAGAAGTCCTGGAAAAAAATCACTGTCCTGTGGGGGCGCAGTGGTTAGAATGCAGTATTGCAGGCTAATTCTGTTGATTGCCAACAGTTTGATTAGGCTCAAGGTTGACAGCCTTCCATCTTTCCGAGGTCGGTAAAATGAGGAGTCAAATTGTTGGGGCAATATGCTGATTCTGTAAACTGCTTAGAGAAAACCGTAAAGCACTGTGAAGCAGTGTATAAGTCTAAGTGCTATTGCTATTGCTACAACTGTCATGGTCACATGATCACAATTTGAGCACTTGACAACTAGCTTGTATTTATGATATCCTAATGTCACTGTTTATAATTTGTGAACTTTCTTGCTGATTTCTGGCAAAATCACCTATTGGGGAGCTGGATCCACTTAACAACCACACGATTCGCTTAATGACTGCTATAAAACTGTCCTAAAATCAGGAACAGCATATAACTTCAACAATTTTACCACAGAAATTCCCAATTGTGGTCATAAGTGGAGGACTACCTGTAGCTGACCATTCAAAATGATACCCTAGTAAATCCCAAATAGGCCCCAGATGCTACCACAGCTACCGAATCCTCTTTGCTGCCTACCATCAGGCTTTAAAAAAACAGATTTTAACTTAGGAAATTAACGTTCCACAGAACAAACTAAACATTCAGGTTCCAGCATATTTTTATTACAAAAATACCTCTAAACGCCACATATGATTTTTTTCCCCTAACAATCCTATAAGGCCTACAAGGGTGCTTAGAGGCATTCTTAGAAAATATAAAAATAGTGGAAAACTGCAGCCCAGGTTTTGGACATATTCATTGCCCCAGAAAGACACAGGAAAGGATTTGAGGAGACAAACAGCATTTGCAGACTTGGAGGAATGGTACATTACTTCACTTTCTGACAAAAGGCCATTTTGTAGCTATCTACCTGCCAGGTGGAAGTCATTCTTTAATAGGCTAGTCTCTGCTGCCCCCATGACAATCATCCAGTGAGACAGTTCACACCAAACTCTAAAAATTACAATATACTCATCAACCCAAAGAAATTCCCTAATCCTGGTCTAAATGCTTTGTCTGGGCTCTCTTTGGACTACTGAGTCATCTGCCCCAAGTCCCTTTTTTGGCCTTGAGGTGGCAGTTTAACTACTAGGTCATTGGACTTAGTCTGTGGTTATAATAATAATAATAATAAAGTTGGAAGGGACCTTGGAGGTCATCGAGTCCAACCCCCTGCCCAGGCAGGAACCCTACACCATTTCAGACAAACGGCTGTCCAGTCTCTTCTTAACAACTTCCAGTGTTGGAGCATTCACCGCTTCTGGAGGCAGGTTGTTCCATTGGTTAATTGTTCTAACTGTCAGGAAGTTTCTCCTTAGTTCTAGGTTGCTTCTCTCCTTGATCAGTTTCCACCCATTGCTTCTCGTCCTGCCTTCAGGCGCCTTGGAGAATAGCTTGACTCCCTCTTCTTTGTGGCAGCCCCTGAGATAT